TGAACTGAATACGTATATATATATATATTCAACATGGGGTCTACGGGGCATAAATAATGCAAGATTGCATCGATGTCACTGATGTGTCTAGTGTGATTGATTTTATGCGGGTTTTTGCCATATAGTGAAATTGCATGCACATGTGCGGTATTGATACTTTCAAGATCTGATCAGCTTGACGCTAGTTTATAGCATAGCCTGTATGGAAGGTCTTAAGTGGCCTAGAAAGATAATTGTTTCCTGTCCTCTTGTCAATCCCATGATGATAAGCTCCAGCCATCAAATTCCCACCATCGATGGAAGCCTAATCATCACATCTCAGAGAACGCGACCTCATCTGAAGATCTACATCATTTGCCGATTGGTTTTGACTATACGCGCAGTCTAGACCGAGCAGAGCTACGGGTAAAGCGGCATCAGTCTGAACCATTTAAAGAACGACTTCCCCGACATTCTGATCATTTTATCAACTCCGACAGCCGGTATATATGCGTATAGGCATACAATGCACATTTACAATAGTCGATCCATGGGGTTTTGAGAAATTCAATTCGCATTCAAAATTAGTAGACTTTATAAGATATCTGGTTGCATCCTTGTTTACGGAATTATAAAAATGCCCACTTGTTATATCCGTATATGCCAATTATAGGCCTTAGCTGACACTATTCATCACTGACAATCATAGGTATTCAATAGTTGTTTATAGTATAATAAAGTAAACAAACAAGTCTACTGATTCAATGACCTTCACTAAAGGTCATAAAAAAATATCCAATGCCTTTGCTGCGAGGGCTGCAAGCTCTAAGTTCCGTAATACCTGCGTTGGTCACATTTATGAATTTTGCTTCAGTTCAATATGACATAATTATCGATGATCTTTTCATTGCGTTTTGCGTGTCACGGCCTCTTTCAGGGTAAAGCCCGGTGCATGCAAGCATCCACAACGTCATGGGGGTCCACCGGACCGCCGTAACGTTCCACTGTCCACGTTGCAGCTGCAAGGTATCACACTGGGTCGAGTGCATTCGGCTCGACCTTTTGACTACTTAACGAGACCTGGGGGAATGTCCTATCTTCCTCGGCCTGAGCAAGCGACCAGTGGATCAAATCAAAGTGTCCGGGATATAGCTTTGTAGCACAAAACCAGCCATTTCACTAATGTTTGATTTTCAATAGTAGCCAGAAGAATATATAGATAGATCACCTTCATTATTGTACCTTTTTACCCATCGTCATTATCATCAGGTCGTCGCCGACGGTATAGCAAATAGCTTTTGTGACGAAAAATGTCCCGAGAGGCCTAACGTAGCCTACTCTGAACGCCTACAACGCTGGCGCAAAATGAATAGAATTGAGGAAAAGCTATGTTAAATCATATATAGCCGTTAATGAAATCGTTTAAATTGAACTGTTGAGCGTGCAGCTTGGGAGTGACGCAATACATACGCGTACAAATACAGACTCGTTGTGGATTGAAGTGAAACCACCAATCTGAGCACTATAATTAATCCGATTAATTTCACTATGTAAGACAATGGGACCAGGGTAGCGGCCTGGGTCTTGAAAATAGATAGCTATTGTTTACGTTTCATCAAAATTTCACCTTTATTTCTAAAGCATCAATGTCAACAAAAATAGTGTTTGATAAAAAAAAAAATGTTCTTATTTTCAAGGACAAGGTATAGTGGCTGAAAATCACATAGTTCTCTAGAAACGAAATCAAATCGTTCTTTCGGATCAACCCGAGACATAATTCTGCCTGGTTCTTCACTTACAAGTGCCCCTATTTCGAATTCGTCGCCGAGCTACAACCTCATCGTCCATTGATATTGATAAATAAACTTTATTAGTTTACACCCTAGGCAAATAAGCCGCTGGCAACGATAAAAATCAGTCAGTGTTCGCTAACCGCCTAATAGACTAACTAACTGAGTTTGTTCAATAGAAATTTACGTTAACTTATGCACCAATAGACAGCTCTCACGAAAGTTCAACGATACTCAAGTTGGTTACCTCGCCTTATAATTCTACTACGGTTCCATTGGCGTAACAAAATCTCTGCACGGGGTCCTGTTGGCTACAACACACAGGTCTTGGTGATGTGCCTATAACCTTTTTGCCTGCAGACAGTTTGCAGCAAGAATCAACTGGTAGGAATATCCGCTCAGCGCGTTAGAGTGATGCCTATAATTAAGCGTGAAACTTCGAACCTAATTTTGTAACGAATTGCAATAAACAAGACTGCGGGCTACTCTATGGTAGAGAGAGATGAGGTGACCGTTTTGGTTGGTCACATTCTATATCCAGTCGCTTCGGGAAAGGACAACGATGCCCAGTGCTCTTGTTTATTCGCACCATAGGATTTTGTAGTAGTCTTCAGCTGGCTATAAGTCAGCTTCATGAAAGCAACTATCTACCAATGACCAGTGTTCCGGGATGAATTATACACACCGGTGGATGTTACGTTACCTCCATAGCAATGTCCTGAGGTGTTGAGAATTCGAAATCAACACGCAGTCTCGGTCAAGGGTTGCCCATAAGAAACCTTCTCAAATGGCCTCACCAAGTTTCGAGTTCATGGGCTATCGATATTAGCAAATAAAAACAACCTAGTTCAGAAATGACTGAAACTTTATGGGTCCCAAATCAACCGTACTGTTGGCTTTGTACATATTTTTTGCTGAATTTCGAAAAAAGACGATATGACGACTAATTGGGAAAAAGCATCGTTCGGAAGGGAGCTCACGCTACTAACAGCAATATCGAGAATAGGGCAGGGAGAACGACGCTTGCAAACTTTATTCGACGGCCCTACCCAGACTAAAGTACATGCATTAATTTTAGAGCCCATCAAATAGACCAGTTTGTATTCTGGCTGGATTTTGATTGTTGCGATCAATAACTTGCCATTAATATTATTTCACATAGGTAACCTTCGGGCTGTCTGTAAAGTAAACATTTGTCTTCCCACAGAAGATGACAATGGAATATCGACGCGTCATACTTAGCAGATCTTCGTTTATGAGGTACGAACGTCATGAAGAGCCATTGTTCTACTGTACATAATGATCAGAACTTGTTGTATTATATAATAGGTAACTAGTATCAGTGGATAGAGTGGTGTTAAAAGTCAATAAAATAATTATTAGTACACCGACCGATTATTATACGTGTTTTTATTAATATTATTTGACAAGAATCTATCTGACAGAAACAAGTAATCTTTCGACATGTAATTGTAAAAGATAGAGATTTCGCTGTTACGGTTCCACAAGGCAACACTCATAGTGTAGCAGGTACTGTTTCAATTGTTTGTGAAGTATCTGTCGGAGGACGATTCGATCGCAATGGCAGCTTCAGATCTGATGACACTGCAAGCAACAAAGCATCGTTAATCAGAAAATATTTTAGTTATGGTTGGATGTGGCTTTCGGCAAACGGTGACTTGGTCCGTTTCACGGGTTTTAGGTTACGCGTCAACGGTAACCGGATTTATATCTCTTTACTTCGCAGTATTAGTCACGCCTAGAACGTATTGCGTTGGAGCTCTTTGTTCTTTAGCGTCCTTTAGTAGAAACTCATTTTCTGTGTAGACAAAATTAATCTGGTACCGCCAGCTGAATTGGGCTGGCGCAGCTCTCCATGGTATGTGGGTAGACAAATGCAAATTGGGCATCTGGCAACCCACACTACAGCTGCTTTAGGGGATGTATGGATGGGTATTTTCGCGATGAAAGGCCTTACGTGGCTCCTATACAGTTCGTTCGACGTCTGAACGCTGTTCATTTAGTGGGCATTTAGCTACTGAGCCCGGGTAGGATCGTTCACAAGAAATAATCGCTTGACAGAAAGAGTCGACGGTTGCAGTAATCACGCTCTTCAGTGCTTTATAATCTATTAAAGACATCAAGCTATCAGTGACTGCTGGAGGTGGCGACAACTTAATTTTGTAGGCGTTTTTATTCTATTAAAGATCGACGACGCGTGTGTATATGATACAATAATTGATATCCGTACGCAAAAAACGTGTATACATAGTTCTCATTATATATCTGTGATTCTTGATAGCTGAAATAATTTTTTGAAAGTAACCAGTTTTCATTTGGCTGTTCGTACTGCTATCATGTAGATAGCTGTGAGTAAAAAAGCTTACGGACGCAAATATAGCGACAGAGTAGATCATTCTTGCGTGGCTCAATTGCCTACCTTTGAGGACCTTTAAAAGCGTTGGGTATACAATTGTTAGTTTGGTTTTTTTCTTTTCCCGCTAACAAAGAATATCTATTACGAAAACGTATCACTTCGATCTGATAAATTTGAATAGCCATCTTAGTATTACCAGGTCGTACCAGAATACAAATCAGTGATATTCGACAAGTTTTTTAAGGAATCAAAACCTACAAGCAACCTCTGCTTGACTTAATATGTCGTTATTTACTAGTTGGGAGCTTTACAAAGGTGCTGCCTTTCTAAAGGTCTCGTTTTGAGTGAATCTTTGAGAGGTTATCTTGACAATGCTCGACTCTAAGGATCCCTTGGTATCTCTCAGAGAATTTGACCCTTACAGTCGCGGTTAGTTTAAGAGACTGCAAAGGTATAATCCATTTCACTAAAGACAGACACCTGCTTTGTCAACGTCTGACACAACTGTGTTTACCGAATATGCGATGCAGTAATAGCGTGTGCCTATTAAACTTCGCGTAGATACGCTTCGTTTCGTGCCCACAATAACCAGCTGTCTGGAACAATGCGTGACTAAGGTAGTACAGGACGTAAGATCCAAAATATATATTATCATTACTTTAGTCAAACGATCAACTGCCGATATTTTGGCCTTTTTTTTTTTTTTTTGGATTTGCAAATATTACACGCCCTTAGCATCTATTTTTTTTTTTTTTTTTGTTCAAAGTAAGCCTGCCTATACTTCAAGTCTATTAGAGTACGTATTGTGCTCTCTATCTAACTAACTAATTTACCTGCTGTAGTGCAAGCTTGTGGACGTCAATTTGACGTCGCGTGTTGGTGCAAGCGATGTACAGATCTTCATACATGCTACCCGTTGATGTTCAGTCGAAGCTACTTTTAGGAAAAGTTCGTCCTGAGTTAAATATAGCAGGCGAATTTACTCACTTCTGGGGGTGTCTACCACAGATTGCTGTTGGAGCAGACCGTAATTCTCATATGGAGTGGCGAACCCCTGATGATTCTCCGATTCAATCATTGCGAAACTGCATCTGAGGTCAGAAGTACTACTCTAAAAGTGGACGGGCCGCAGCAAGCAAGCGCTCCGACCTTACACCGTGCGCTAAAATAAGGTATGATGCCTGACAACCAGTATATCGAAGTCCTGCTTTTGACATTAATATGGTGTATTTCGGTAGACGCGTTACAGCCAGACAGCGATCGGAAAATAGAACTGAACCCCTTGTGCCACGCTCCATACCCCAAATCACGCTCTATCGAGACTCAACGAACGACAAATGTCTCTCCGCCAAATATCATCATTATTGTTATTGACGATCTTGGTTGGGACGATATTAGTCTTCATGGAAGCCAACAAATACTTACGCCAAACATCGATCAGATAGCCAAGGAAGGCATGTCAGAAGAATTGGTGAAACGTTTTTGTGCTTATATTATTTCTGAATAGGTATTAATCACCTAAGCAGCCATATTGAAAGGTTGGCCAATATAACGTTATATTTGTATCAGTACAAGAAATAAATATCAAATTAAATAAAGTACACATTAAATATCCTGTGACAGTTACTGAAAGATAAGTTTTAACATGTGCTTACGGTTTTCATCGGAAGGTAGAGGTTCTGCATTGATAACGACGTATTGTTCTACTCTCTGTATATTTCAGGTGTGTTACTTGAAAACTATTATACTCAAGCGATATGTACCCCATCGCGAGGCGCCCTTATGACAGGTATGTACCCGATCCACTTGGGTCTTCAACACGACGTCATCGCCGGAGCCCAGCCGTGGGGCTTGCCTGCTGAATTTAAAATTATGCCTCAATACCTTGAAGGTATATCATTTTTTCTCAACATATCCTAATTCAGTTAAAAGCCAACATGAATTCTTTAAAGTAAAAAGGCAAATTTAAAGCCACTGAATATACAACAGAAACTAACTTCTCGAATCTGCATGTTCTAAGCTACTTTCCCAACTTATTTGGTTGATTTTAAACAAAAGCAACCCTATCCTTCTACCTACTCTCACCTGATTTTTTATGGTTGTGACCTTGGTACGCCCTTTAGGTGCCGGCTACGAGAGCCATATCGTCGGAAAATGGCATTTGGGTCACAGCCGATCTGAGCTGTTACCGACTCAGCGTGGGTTTAAGACTCATTTTGGGTTTAGGCTTGGCCATAGTGATTATTACAACCACTGGGGTAGTGAAAGCTCTTTAGTATCCGGTGAACTTTATAAGGGCCTAGATCTTTGGACAAACCAATTGCCTGAACAGCGATTTCACGGCAAGTACGCCAACGACATCTTCACGAAGAGGGCCATCAATATTCTCGAGGTGCGTATATATATATATATAGGTTCGGTATAGCCTAAAATTACACGATGGATTTACCTTAATGTTATTTACTTTTGGAGAGCGCAGTATTGCTACGGGCAATTCTATTTAATACCAAATTTAATCATCTAGATATGAAAACGTATACCTTTCTCAAGTCGTTAGCCATAGGTCGTACTGACAATTTGCGAAATACACGTTTATCGAAACGTAGATCCAGTGATTTCTCCTCATTGTCTACACATACTAAAGCCAGCTAGACTTCACAAACGATGCTACAGTTAATCAATAATATTTTTGTTATTTCAGAATCATAACATGTCGAAACCGTTGTTTCTTTACATTGCACACCAGGCGGTCCACGTTGCTAACAGCGAAGCACCTCTCCAAGCTCCACTTGCGTTCATTGACAAATATAACGCAAAAATCCTTGACGAAAAACGAAGACACTATGCAGCGATGGTAAGGGAAACCTTTAAGAAGCCTAACATCGACTCATTGTTACAATGAAATAGAATTCCATATGCCATGAATCACTTGTGGCAGACTTGTGGTAGTAGTAATAGTTTACGTTGTCAAGGTCAGAGACTGACCTCTATGAAATGTCTTACAATCGCAGAAATTGTTCTTACCAAGTAGTCAAGAAAAGTTGAAACCGTCTTTAGTAGGTTTTTGTGTTTTGCTCCTAACCCCCCGCTCCCATCCTAGTTCATAGTCATTGTTGAAAGCTATTTGACTGAGCCAATAAGTTCACTTCTGCCATTGTATGATCCTAACTTCGATAGGTGTCAGCCATGGACAGTTCAGTTGGAGACCTTATGAAGGCAGTAAAGGACAATGGTTATGCGCAGAACACTATCTTGTTCTTCACCAACGACAATGGTGGACCAACAAACGGCATGGCGAACAGCGGCTCCTCAAATCATCCCCTTCGAGGTTGAGTTCTCCTTTATCATTACTATTGCTATTATGATTAGCATTATTATTAAAGAGTACCGAGCAATTGTATCAACAGATATATATGTCGACGCTATAAAGTCGATTTAGTTTCCCTGTCGCCTGTTGAATGGTTTCCGATTGTAGATTGGCTAGATCGGCGTTTAGCCTAAGCGTACCAAAGCTCTCTATGCGATAAAGATATCAACGGGGAGACATGTCGAGCTAGTTCCGTGCATAAACAGGATGTTTCATTAATAGATTCGTTCAACCAGGTTCGAAATATACCCTGTGGGAGGGCGGGGTTCGTGGAATCGGTATCGTTTGGGCACCAGGTCTGCTCAACAAGGGAAAATACACCAAGTTGGTACATATCTCGGATATTTTACCAACAGTTCTTCAAGCGATTGGCCAGCCCATACCGTTAGAGTTCGATGGAATTTCATTTTGGGATCAACTGCGCACGGCAACAGGAGATCATCGAACCGAGTAAGATGATTTGAAATTGTATCAAACCCTTAATTATTATTGATAAGTTATGAGTACTAATTAGCCGATTTGCGGGTGTAAGCTAGGACATCGTTTGGTTTTGGTATTCGATTTTTGTGGTGTAGGGTATATTATATAGATGCAAGATCTGCTGGAATTTTCAAATAATAACGATGCTGAAAAATTGCAATATATAACCCAAGTTATATGTCGTCTCAAGTATTTTTCTGCCGTTTGGGTCGATTCAGTCTCAGCAAAAGTAGCTTTGAAAGTGTCTATCCGAAAGTGTAAGCCACAGGTAGAGAAGCTGCCAGTATTAACTACAAATGTATGTATTAGCACTATATTATAACTCCACAATAAATGAATAGAATAAGAATTGACTGTTGATAGATTGTGTAGCCTACACCGTAACATTACATGACCTGGCTTTTTAAGTGAATGACGTAACGCCGCTCGTATCCGACTGGACTTACTCTATTTGAACGTATGCGTGCATGAGCCTGCGTGCACCTAACAGCTTCCATAGTAACTATACGAGACTTTAAAGCTGGAAGCTACAGGGCCCTGCGGCCCGAGGATCAGTTGGGGAGCAAAGAAGCGCACGTGGCTAACCGATTCTAATTCGCAGATTGTTGCATAACGTCGACACAGTATGGGGAACATCCGCCTACCGTTTGGGTGATTTCAAGCTCATTTCTGGCATTTGGGATGGCGGTCGCTATGACGGATGGTACCCAACCGTCGAGGCGACTAGTTTTAAAAGAACAGTTAAATGCGCCGGCAATGGAACATACTGCAATGGCGCCAACAGACCTTGCCTCTACAATCTTCGCGAGGACCCCTGCGAACAAAACGATGTTTTTGACGAGCACCCCGACATTGTGAAGGTGAGTGCGTGGTACGAGGCGATATCTTTGGGCAACACATAATTGTAGCTCCGTATTGGTGCAGTGATAACGTGCTTTCTTGCGAAGTCTAGCTACGCGGAAAAGGGTAGTTCAGCTTCAAAATTTGGCATGAACAATCACGCTTAGTTTCACACTTCAGGGATCAGTTGCCTAAGGCGATTCCTAATAACAGTATTGATTTAGAGAACTCCAAATGTTTATAAGCACGATTTAGTAAACGCGACCGCCATTAAAATCGCATAGAAATGTTTTTACATTTATGCGGCTTATTTAGGCGGTTTTTGTATGTAGATCTGATGAGGCTACATTGACAATGTAATAGAGGTGAAAATACGCAGGTCTTTTCCATACTGAATGCACGATTGTATCGGTCGTTTCGCAGAAATCAGAAACGTTACGATTTGATCACTGACATAAAAACAGATAAAAAAAAAAAGTGGAACGTGCTAAAATGAATATACTTTTATGTATTCCAGGCGATTACCACTAAGATAAGGTGTTATGCCAAAACAATGCGACCCATAGAGAACAGACCTAATACGAACGCGGCCGATCCGGCCAATTTCAACTTCATTTGGATGCCTTGGGAAGACTACACGATGTTAGATTCAATCAGATAATAGCCGTAATACACGATCATGCTAACATGGGCACAAAGTGATCGTGTCTGGGTATAACTGAAACAGCGTTAAATAATCACAGGCAAGGGCATTGGGCAGCTCATAGTTCGATTCGTGACGAGTAGCAAATGCATTCATCGATAAGTGCATAACTTGTGTTTACCTTTTAAAATTAAAAACATAAATAATAATTACGTTACGTTAAGGTGCCCTAGTCGTATATACAAGAAAACTATTCTGTAACGTACGAAATTATTTTCTGTTTGCTTTTTTTTCATTCGCTCTATACACACGATTGTAGAAAGTCACAGGATTGAGATCCAGTGAAGTAGCGAAGTACTACTATTCACAGCGACTGTCATATAAGCGTATCTTTTTCGACAAGTTAATGTTAATAGATAGGAACACGCGTACGCATATGATCAATATGGGTTCTCAAAAATATTGCACTGATGATTATAGATGTGAACGTGTCCCTATACCAAGCTTCATTGTCATCCCTTTTGTTTTCTTTGAACTTATTCACCTTGCTAAGTGACTTGAAATATATAAAAAGATATCTGTCGACTATTTTCGTATTCCATATATTTTAATCGTAGTGCACGATTCTGCACGTAGTGCACGAAAACTGGGGTTCTTCATCGGTTACTTTCTGTATTTGGTTGTTCGTGGCGACATAAGTTCTCACGAGGCTAATTCGACACACGGTTGAAAAAAAGTACAATGATAAAAGCGATATAGTGAACCGGTGTTACTTGAAAGTTACTCTACTAAAATCCGTAAGGAGCTGATTTAGTCCTCTGAGAAAGCACCACTAAGTGGTTCAGCTGGTCACCTGCCGACAAACGTCCTTTGTTTCTATTGAAGTTAGTCTGGCCTCGGTGTAGATCGAAAGCTCGCAGTTATTCTGTCGCAAGCATCAGTAGCTTCTAGCTGTAACGTACCACGAGGATCCGCTAATCTGATTGAAAATATTTATTAATGGATGTTCATAGAGAAAGGCGCTCTGCAGTGGGCGCTTCCACCAGGTTCAAGAACAATTATAAACAGGGTCAGATCGGACCCCTAGCAACAACATACAGACTACATACGTATAAAGCACCTCGTCAGGACACATTAGGGAAACAAACAATTTACCAATAGCAATTTCAGTTTAAACTTTGTCCTTAACTTAGACGCATGCCTTTATTTTTAAAGGTAGACAGACTCAGCTAGTCCGTAGATTTATATATTAGGTTATGTCAAAGTTTAACTTATACGACGCTTTCATCTTTGGGGATATTTTTCGAGTTTTCCATACATATGGTCCCATGAAAGCAGGTTTTACCTCTGACAAGCCTACCAAGAATGTCGTCCGTCGTAAGCCGTCAGTTAACAGAACTTCTACCTCGAGCTCAAACCAAATAGGATCTCTCTGAATAATCCCATTTGAAACTTGTTAATGGAGTCAAAATCGGCAAAGGAAAGTAATTGAGCTTCTAATATTCCCAGCCGCCCACGCCAGTTTAGAGTTCGTCCAAACATCTTTTTTTGAGACGAACTTTCCCCTCGAACCGACCGTAGCACGCTCCTGAAATGCAACTTAGCGGCAGAGTTTAGTTATGATCTCTCGTGGTATACCCCAAAGCCATTTTCATTATCTAACGATGCGCCTGCGTACTAAACCGCGAGAGGCTGTGGAAGTTTTTGGTACGCTTTTTGCCGATCCAGTAGAAGTCATTGCTTTCAACAATATGTGTCAGAAAATTAACTTTGTTTTAACTTATACTACTCAAACATGATGACTGCAGAATCGAAAAGTCGTTGACTTCAGGAAGCTCCGGATAAAGATGGTTTGACGAATTAGAGCTCAGGCGTCGTATCAGCGTCCTACCTCTACCATCTGTGAAAAGTTTTGGAAGCCCTGCTCTCTCGCATTAAATCAGCACTTAAATTGCAATAAATCAGATTGCGCCAGATTTGGGTAGGCTTGTATTTCAGTCATTGATAATCTTTTCTTCAGCTAGCCGGATCACGGTAAGTCTGTCGTACTTGGATTCACAGATGTTGTTGTAGGAGAATTTCAAAGAAGGCAAAAAAATCGAATTCACGTTCCAGTCTGATCGAGGTAATTTATTTGGATCTAATCTTAACGTTGACTAGTATAGTAGTCAGTAGGACCACTTGCACAGGTAAGCCTATATAGAATACCTGGGTGGAACTTAATTTGGCCTTTCTCGGTGGCAGATGGAGAAATAGATGATTAGGATCGGCATTTAATTGATAGCTAACACATGCTCCATAAATGATTGGGAAAAAATGTTTTCTTCTGGTTATATTCTATGATTGAGTACCATGTAAGGGGTATGAAATCTTACGGCCTACGCATGCGCGTGCCTCGCTAAATACGTTTTTTCGGCACGGACCATTTATTACATCTTTTCGCTATAGATAATACGCAAGTTAGCGGTGTGACAAACCCTATACAGTGTTGAGTCACATAGAGACTATACAGCTGCGCGTTGGACGCTTTCCTTCACCTGACATTTATCTGAACTGAGCTTGAATAAAAAAGCCTGAAGAAATATCTTTATAACCAAACGGATTCTTAGCTAATTATGCGTGAATCTTCACCCGTAAAAAAGGTGCTTTATTTCAGCTTGATGCCCGAGAGCGGCTGAGTAAATTGTATCTGATAATCTTTGTTCATCAATCAGAAAGTGAGAAGTTTGGTATTGAAATGAAATTGGGGAAGTGGAGGGGATTGCCACCCAATAGAGGCGGGGTGCCCAGTGAACTCTTTGTCAGAGTATCTTATCAGTGTTGATAAAAAGAGCTAGTGAAATAAGACTCAGTTTTTTTTGACTGTGTAGTAATCGTATTTTCTCCATAAATTTGACTGGTAGACGGCCAGTATGTTCCGTTCATATAGACGGTACACCCAACCCAGGGAAATCAAAAATACGTCGAAAGAGTATTTTTATGCTTTTGTCAAGCCTCAGCGTTATTAACGTCTCCCTAAATAAATAACATTAGGTGCCAGCGGTTTACCTCAACCAGATACCATTTATATATAATTATATAGCATCAATTTCGGTCGTCGGATATTTAAGTAATAATTTTTCAGTTATAACTTGAATTGTAATAAAAGCGATTACATCAAAAATATGTCAAAATATCGTTGTGTTAACTTAAATTATCGGCATGTTTAGAAGTTCAGCACATTTTTCAGCCCCTTGAATATCTCTGGATATCTTAATATTTCCGTCGAAAGATGTCCGTCAAATGTGGGAAAACAGATAACGTTCTCATTTGCAGCACTTAATAAACAATAATAGTAGTAATAATAAGGTAAATCTACATGAAAGAAAAAATACATTTATTGTGGTACGTAGATTAGTGTTGAAGTATTCCATCTACGAAAATCATAAGCAATACTCACGTGATGAACATTTTAAGTAGGCTAGACCTGCCCTAGTTCCTATAGTCTTCAACTATTAGCACCACAAAAGACTGAACCTCAGTTCGAAGCGACTGAGGGGTAATGTATCTTAAAGTTTGTACATCCGAATCCCCCGGCTCGGGAATTCTGGCTCATGAAGTTTATCATTGCGATTTGCCAATCTCAAACCTAATTGTGTTACTAATAGAGTTACGTTTGTTGAATTGAACATTACGTCTTGAACTAATGTTTATGTCGTTGTAGCTTATTTTCTTCCGAATGCTAAAGCAGCGTGCTTACACGTATTCGAAAGGGGACGGGTTTGTTATCTCGTTAAAATCGCCTTAACGCATAAACTAAAAACAGTCAGCTGAAACACACAGCAGGCAAAATATGATACGTACAGGAGGACCGCATTGTTACATGTCAAAACACGTTCCTCGCTCCGGCACGATTACATTTTTCGAACGACAATTGCATCTGTCGTCGACTACTCCGTTGGGATATTCGACACACTCGGATTGGAGCAGCACCCAAAAATGTCGGATGAAAGGCCTCACTAGTACCTTGTTATGCTTGTTGTTTTGGGTAAAGCCCATTTACGATGCAACCTAACTCGACCCCAAACAGGTAGGTTTGAGAAAGTCTTTCTCGCTTTTAATCTAGAGAAAAAACCTAACTTAATGCGAGGAAGTCGACGTATCGGTGTGTTTTTTGTATAGCTTAGACTATTTGAGCGGATATGTACGTGTTTATCTTTCTAGCGCTAGAGAAAAAGCACCATTCAATGGAAAATATTGAAAAGTCGCAATGAAACGTTGGTGAATATCTATGAAATACTTTTTTGCTTCAATATGCCCTGCTCTTACTTTTCTTTTCACCATTTTTACCTAACGTTCATAAAACGTCTTCGACCTTATATTTCATAATAGATTGTTGCAGTTGTAACATCATTCCTTTGCCATAATGCAGGTTTTCTATAATGCATGTTATCGTCCTCTATGTGCTCGCTGCCTAGTATGTTGTATTGATAGAACGGTACCAACTGGTGGTCGATTCCGCTTAACATCGATAAATGTTTCAACATAGCAGTTTACCGTTTTCCTTCCTGTATCATAATTTTCTGTTTGATTGAGCTATAGGCGGATTTCGGAAGCTCCGTGTCGTTTTGTCGCTCCTCAACGGTTTTCACTCACTGATCTTCAATGTAAAAGATTTCTCTTTTCAGATATGAGATTTTATCTATGGGCTATTCGTCTAAAACGCATTTAAGGGTACATGATATTCTGTTTTTATGCTGTTTATCAGCAGTAAGTTCGGGCGTCTGCGAGGCATCCCTTCTCACCTCGAAGAGGCGATTGCCGAGCTCGAGAACTCGCTGGCCTCACCCGAAGGGGGCGAACGAGCCGGTGCTTCACCGTTAGCGATGATCCTACATGGAATGGATACAGCGACCGACTCTAACCTGGCCAATCAGCTACGGCTCTTTACTCAACGGTACGTATATACGTGTCGTCAACAGCTGGCTGCACTCTACAAAAGCTCTGCAACACATAACAGAAAATCTATGGATATCTCAGCTAAGTGATTGCTCTAGTACTCTTAGTTACGACATGTTACGATACGATTAGAAAAAAAACAAGAGAATGCGTAAAATTACAACCCACCAAAGATCATTGACGCTAGTGTCTAGTTCCTTCTCAAATAGCGGTACGATTTTTGCTTGGATTGCCTTGTAGACTAAGTGAGTTTGTGACTCAAAGCCGAAGTAACGCCGAAGCGGAGGCTGAAGCATTGTGCCAGGAGCGACAGAAAAACGTGATAGAGGCTGAAAAAGCAGCAAAAGAGGTGGCGTTGGCGAAGCTCCGTACCGAAGAAAGTCAACTTCAGTTGGAAAGCGTCCATGAGGAGTAATCCACGCATTTTCGCTTATATATATAGCTAGAGTAACTTGAATCTGAAACATGTAGTCAAGTTTAGTCTTTAATTTTTGTTGCAAGGGTTCCTGCTTGTTTAGCGCCATTTCATTCACAATAGATTTAAAGAGAATTCGGAAAATTGGTCTCGCAGTTCGCAAACTATTGGTTATTACTAACTTCCTTTCGACCAATATAAATCAAACTTGCAACGACACAATAGATAACCTGTGAAAGTTGTCGGGCGCCGGGGACGTCTTGCAGAGTGGCGTTCCTCAAAGCTGATCTCGAAAACGAACGGGCTCGTATTATTCAGTTAGAAAAAAACATCGTGGAGATCAAGCATCAAGCAAGTGTTCGCGTTAAGGAAATCGAGGCTCTTGAAGCTCGCCTTAAAAAGACTGAAGATGCTCGGGCCGCTTTCAAGGAACAACGGGACGTCCTCACGGTTAAACTAGCTGTTGAGCAGGGTCGGCTTGTTGCCGGTGGGTGTCATAAGATTATGTTATTTGTCGAACTTTGACTATAACTACATTTCCGGTTAACGTACGCAAAAGTGTAATATTTTTTTACGAATGTTGAAATAGAAATCGGGGTGTTCTTGGTCGAGGGATAAAAGAAAGTTTACATTAGGACAAGACTGACGCTTCAGCATTTGCAGTTCTACCTTTATAAGTTACTGTGAAATGCTGGGGATTCTTCAAACAAAGAAATGCGTCCGAGGTATTTAAAGTACGCCGTATTTTTTAGTGAGAGGTATGCACTGCATATTCAGCATTTTTTTTGATTGTATAATTATTTTTTCTATTTTAGTAGTAATTGTTTTGGTATTGTCATTAATCGTATGATCTTAAATAATAAATTTAAACAACAATTGATTTCTTGACAAATCATGTCTGCTGTGTGCATGGTCCTTTAGATGAACGACTTATGAAAATTAGTTTAATCAAACTAATTAAATAATAAATCAGAAACTTAATACCATATCCTTTAACGCAAAACCGGTAATGGTGGGACAATATGAAACATGGCCTTCAAATATGTCGTTGTTAGGACTGATCTCTGAATAATTGTCGATGAAAAATTATTTCAGTAACTGCTGCTTTAGAGGCCTCGGAGAGAAGTGCACAACACCGCCGATCTACTGCTTTTGGCGAACATCTGTTACCGGCGCGAACCAGCACGCCCCCGATTACAAACTGCACTCCTACCTGTCATCAGATAAGGCAAGTTTGCGTAAGTGTGCGATCGGTAGTATCAAAAAAGTTATTGTCGTCATCCTTCTCTTGACCCTTTCTATGATGACCAACTAGTTCCATCGAACACGTGCCAATGGATAATGGTGATCTTCATTCTCTGCCATAGCTCAAATTAATCGGCATTAAAACCGGTCTTTTATTCTTGCCACTTTATTTTTTAGGCAGGATTTGGCGGAGCTCCGAGCTGTAAACGAGCAGCTTCGCCGCGAGTTAACCGGATGTCAAGAGAGGGCGGTTCGTCAGCGAGAAGCTAGCAACGCCAATGAACGCCGTCTGCATGATCAGCTCAATCGTGCGCGGAAGCTTGTTAGCCAAGAACGTAGCCGCGCGGAGAAGCTGGCCTATCTCCATGCTGCTCTGGCGTCCGATCGGCGTAATGCCGCCGACCTGATCACCACACTACAGTAAGCGACAAGATCAACGATAATAGCTAGAAGTCTCATACATGCTTAGTCCACTGAGATTCTAATGGAGGCGTAAATATAAGAGCAGAGCAGTAGGAATTGGTCCTATTTTATTCAGGTGCTGTGATTTTAACGTACGTTTACAGTTCTGCCCTGGTCTATTAACGTGTTAGAATTTTATTAAATACATTCAATAAGATTAACTTTCTCGTTTCACACCTGCAAGCACATACGCTATTTCACCTGGAAAAAAAAACTAATTATTGTTCCTGTCTTCGCCATTCTGTGGACGCCCGCAACTGTCGTAGAGGTCAACTTACCCAGCTCCTCTACGATAATCAGAGGCAACCACGGGGCAAACAACAGGCCAGTAGTAGTTGTCAGTCTTTTCAAAAAACTGAGCCCCAGGATGAGTCCAGTGAAAAAAGCGATCCTCAGGGAAATCGACAGCAAGACGCGCAAGATGAACTTGAAGAAGATACGCTGGTACGGGCCCCCTCTGTCGAAAACTTAAGTTGCAGAGAAAACGAGCTTGGTCAGCAGGAAACCCAACTTCGAAGGAGGCACAGCATTCCTCCTAACTTACAACAAGCAAGTTCTATTAGAAGTACTAATTAACCCGTAGGTATACCATATAGTGAAAGACGAAGGTATACACATCTATAGTACATACATGTGTAATAATAAATAGTTAGGTCCAAATAATGCTATGGGGTTTTGTAGATTTCTGTAGGCAACAGCAACCCTTAATCACTTATATCGTATGTTGTAAACACTTCGTCATGGTTGTATTTCTATAGATTGTACCCGCAATACAATGCCACTCAGACCTTATGGTTTTTCTATTCTAACCATTTTATTATAGATGCGCCATGAAGTAATGCTAGCTGGTGAGGGGCGAAGCAATTAGGTTGTAACAAAATTATGGCAGTCATCTGCCCTTCCTTATCCCTTCAATATATATACTCTATTTGTTTGCTTCTGATATATTGTATAAACGTGTTCTTTTTCCTTATCATTAGCCCGAAGCTCCGTAGGCCATAACTGGTATTACGTTGCGCAATACACGTAAATTTTCGACTCTCGCTCTAATTTTCCTTACGCCGAACTCAGGAAACTGCTGTTCTGGCCCAAGCTGATTGTACTGTACAACAAAAATTTTACAACTCAGCTTGAAAGGACCCTCTAAATTCGAGGATAAAATTTGGGATCTCGTGGATGTACCTCCAATCAGCCATCTCAACTCGATAAGGATTACGGATATCTAATAACAACTCACCAAACAGCTCGTTAATTATTATTAATGAAGATAGGCTCCAAGTACTCGACTATTACGAGACGCTATGTTGAATGAAAAAAGGTCCATTATTTATGTTACAGTCTAATATTGCATGTGGATTATAAATAAATTAATTTACTCTTTCTCTATTTTGCAGGCCGCGACCGAAAATTGCCCCACGATGTGAAAACCAAACGCTGTCGACAAAGTTTATTCCTTTTATTTATTCGGACCGTTCATTGTGTCCGTATTCGACGTTATGTATGAGATGGCTCATTTTTTTCAACAAAAAGACCATATTACCAATTTTTTTTCTCACATCGGACGTGAGTTCACCTTCAAAGCGCTTTTACTCGAAAACAACGTGAAATATTCTAGCGAAGACTTCTATGACAAAGTGGGCGGGTTCTTATTATTATTCTAATTAAAAAGGAACGCATGGAATAAATAATCTTCCTGCTAAAGTATTGTTTCTGCTGTAATAAAAAGAAAAAGAGATCTTTTTATCTGACTAGTTATGTGTTGTAGTTGTCATACTAATATACCGCTCTCGTCAGAACCCGCGCAGATTTGACGATTAGAAGAAGTCAGATCCACGCGCCGTCTTCGTACAACAACAATATTGCGTTTGCCTACGATTAAACTTAAAGCCATGAAGTTCGAAGGCAGAGGGTGAAGTGAGAAGGCAGTCGGACGATTTTCTTTGTGATGATAGAAGGGTCCGCTAGGTACCTAAAGCAATGCTCAGCATTTTCTCTACAAAGGCAAGGAGCATATATTTACATATGAATTGTGAGATTTACTTATCTTGTTAGAGGACTGCTCACTAAACCTTAATGCCTTAGCCCGAAGTGAAAAAGCCCAATGACCCACCCAAAGTCAGCCTTAAAGCCGCGTTAGTGCTACTTCAGTGAAGCAATGCCCAGCTAAAACAGTTGTACCGGACGCAAAGCTCAGAGCTCGTTTACTTCTTAGAGCGTTGTACGTATACGAATATGCGATACTATGCAAAACAAGTCTAGCCTTCAGTAGATCAGTTCCTTTTGTTGTTGCGCTTAATTTTGTTGTTCTGTGACAATCGCAGCTCTCCCATGAGCCTATTCCATTTGGTCCAATGTATTAAGCCAGTTAACTTGTTACACTGATGAAGTAATTGACCCTAAAATCGACTCGAATAATAAGATGCTGTGACACAATAACGACTCAGAAAGATAGTAGAAAAATTCAGGTTAATTTTTCATTGTCACCCTCAGCCATCCGATCGTAATAAGACAGCTTTCAGCTCATTTTGTCCCTAACGTAAAACGTTTCCCAGTGTTAAATAAGTATGCCAAGCTTTTAATTTATGTTAAAGCATCGGACGATCCTAGGAGAGTCTCCGAGAACGCTAGCTAAGATCTTCTTTATATTTTTTGATAAATATTCGATACCTACTAAAGTTAGTTCCGCATCGACTCAGCCGTACTTAGGTAAGTTCAGAATTTCTGAAATTCAAGATATTTTAAACATTGATTTTATTGTCGCAGTATCAAATCGCTTACCACGCTTGCTTCTCTTGACTATGTAGCAGTTTTTTTAGCTTTTTTTTTTGCCTTTACTTCAAACAAATGCCGGTATAAAGAATAACGCTCAAGCTAAATTTTATGTGCTGTGGCATAATCTCTGTCTGACTTAAAAACTCTGTTTTTAAGGGGAATGGTTACGACCATATTACCTATTATGAGAGGACTCGATACTGATTATCACGAATATGTGTCCGTGTGTCCACGTACGTTTGGTGATCAGCTGTTGATGCACGTCTTACGTGCACTCACACATGCAACACGCTACGTATATGTGACGGTATAATAAGACACTCGTGAATGTGCTGGTGTTGGTATATATTCACTAGACCCTATTCACTGCCATTTAGAAAGTCGGAAGCGATCTTTTTTGAAGTAACCGATAAAATGATTACCGCATCGCAAGACCCCCAGAGAGTTGCTGCCAATTCAAGTGGTAAACATTAAGCTGTGTTAGGTGAATTGCTAGTTAGCTTATTACAACGAAAATTAGATTGCCGATAGTAACTGGCCAGCGGGGCACGCATTCATAGGTCATACCTACAATGTATTACTCCACTAGGAAGTATAGCCAGGGAAAAAATCGCTTCTCCCCGATGTGGATCACCTATCGATGTAGTATGTCGATGGTAGTAGTCTATCGCTTTCACCTGTTACTGAGAAAAGGCTAATTAGGTGTTACTTAGTATGATATTCTGTCTGGCTTTGCCTGTACAAATAACACCACTGACTGGAGCGCCAACCGACGCTAGGAAAGGTCAAGAGAAATCTAAATTTCTAAATAAAAAACTGAACGACGAATTTACCGTGATACCAAGTAAGTTAGAGGAAGGATATGATCGAAACTATATCCTACTTCAAGCTGATGCAATCACTTGGTCTTAACAACAGCGAACAAAGTTCTTAAGGCTTTTCATTTGTGACACAGGTATAATGCGCACATGACGCCTTTTCCAGGGCCTTTTTCAGTCAGTAATCAGTGTTTAAGTGTTCTTTCTGATTCAACAGTTATTGCGTATGGGCAAAGCGAAAATGATAGCCTGGTCTGAGATGCGAAGGGCAACAACTCCTGCTGTGACGCAGCCCCTGCCAGAAAGCTTCGCGCCAGAACTCCCGTTAGCTATTCATGGTTCGGTACACGAATATACCGTTGTACAATGAAAATCATCTATTACGCAAAGTCATAATCAAAGTCTGCCACATGACCTGTACGTTGTTTCGTATGTCCTTTGCTATCGGTTTGAGCAGAGCCAGCTTGCTTCGTCTCGAGAGAAACAGCTTATTTTCACGAAGCCTATGCCATCTTAATTCATATGGATGGCTGCCAGTATTATATGTTGGGTCAGCTTCTTGTTCTTCTTCGGAAGCATGAAACTCCATCAGCGAAGTTCAAGTGGACGATGTCATAAAATTTGTCGGACATCGAATTGGGGTCTGGAGTTCCGCTAACGGTTGAAGTTACCATTAACCTTTACATTGGTTTGCTAAATCTTCTGCTCGGAAAAGTATTCGCAATGATAGAAGTAACTAGTGTGTTAAGCTTTATCTAGAAGTTACATAATAAATTATGTGAAGCTTTGAAATAATTTGAGATTTATATTTGATAATAAACAAGTTAAAAATCTTATTATAACTATGTGGAGGTTCTCTCCGTCCCTTTCTGACTGTCGAACGCTTGACCTTTGGGGCAACTTTGCCACGGTCTTATTTGGCGATTTTTGTCTTATGCAATTGATTTTTTATTAGGCTTTTTACCTATGCAGCCTACGTTTGCTTGATCAAGACCCGATCAAGCACGGAACGCTGCCATTGTCTGTTAAATATTTCGAGCTTTGAATGTTCAGGGAGACCAGCCTAATTTCTATGCAGACACAGACTAATCGCAGTTTTTTTTTCTAAATAAACTAAAAATTATTTTCATTTTGAAAGCGAAAAGCTCAGTTAAGAATGTCTAACATTTTATTTAATGCTATTTTAGTCGCTTAGTAAATAACACCTATCCTAAGTGCTTAGTGGAGTGTTCATAAATCATAGCTGATCATTTAGTACCTGTTAACAACTCACAGAAATGTCATACTCGGCCACATCGGCTGTGTAAAAAGTCCTTAGAATTTGACATTAATTGAATAATAACTTTATTTCTGTGGTAGTATTATTACTATCTTGTCACCCTTGCCCGTCCTCACGGTGGAGCATTTAAGTTGCACTTTTCCACCAACTAAATATCCGTATAGAGCGTCCAAGTTAAGTTTCGCCTACTGCGGAGTAGTCCGTCTGACTTGCCGGTGCATAGGATGTGTTACGTCGTCCAGTTACATGTCATCTATTAGCCCACGCTGACGAGAGATTGCTAGAAGATGCATGGTATAGATCTTTTGCAGTGGACATATTTTCCATCCAGCAAGTACCGGTAGCGTTGCCTATTATGGTTTCTAAGAATTCGTCTGTCTGCTCAGTCCATCCGGAAACGCAGAACCTATTCCCCGTGCTATTTCGATCAATTTTTCCCTCGGTATCGGACGATGTATATGTAAGACTAATAATACACATCACTAACGTATCAATGTAGCGACAGTCGATTTCTTGGCTAGTTTTTCTCTTAATATGTGATCGGAATCTTGTTCTATTTCACCATATACTTTCCATATTCCCTTGTCCATGCATGTCCTTTGTGTTAACCATTAACTAAATGCAGTTGACAATAATCTCCTATATGTTGCATCTGTCGTTAAGAAAAAGGGACTACTACCCTGTGTGATCAGTGTCTGGGCGTATCGGTAGAAACAACACCAACGCTTACCCCCTACAGCTGACGCTCAAAGTGACTAGCTGCAAATTAATCACTCCTGTGGGACGGAAGGTCGGTCTTCTACCCACTCGAGCATGGCTCTATGACAACATCGTGTCGAGATCGGAGCATGATACCATCGGATATGTAAAACTTGGACCTAAAAAAAATTATCGGGACATATTTACATTGAAGAATAAGAGCAATACAAATAGTTACAAGTTGCTATTTCATATCAATCGAAGTGCTGGACTCGAACGTGAACGAACACCAGTTGGCGTAGACAGAGTATTACTGAAATCGGCCCCTAGGTTTGACTGCTGGAATAAGCGTATCGGCTCACCCTGTGTGGAAAACCGAGTTTCGGTAAACGTAACTCTACTTACTGCTGTGTTCATTTGAATAAATGTAAACCAACTCTTTTAGCAGATCTCCTAGTGTACGTTTACGATGTCCGTCTCTATACGATTTCTATTATTTCTTTTGAATCATAAATTAGGTAGTGGTCTGGTTATCACCATGCGAACGCTCGAATAGAAAAAATGGCCGCAATATATCATTTGCAATCGTTACAAAAAGGCTATATATATATATAAAGCGCTGTCGATTTCAGCCCACGAACCTACTGAGGTTCATCATGTCCGAACAGACTCACTGTCAACTAATTGAATCGATAGCAGCGTTCTGCGGGTGCACGTGTCCTTCGTATGAAGATATTTTAATAATGTCTTCTCTAAAAGCGAAGATGTTACTATTGCTTTTTCCGGTTACGCCGTGACTCGTATCTACAAGTGTGTGTATACAACCAAGGTAAGACATGAGAAAGGAAGAGGCATAGTTCTTTTCTAGACACATTTCTAGTACTGATTTAAAAGATCTCACTGAACCGCGCAGATAAATTGCGACTGACCATAGACCTATTCGATTCGGTAATTGCAGACCTTTTCATGTATGCGTATGTCTCACAACAGCGCCTGTGTTCAGGTTACTCCGAGAAGAGAGCAGAAAGCGCTGCGATCGTGATCTTGAAACAGAAGACATTTAATTAGTACGGTCGGTACTATTAGTAAAATTAATACTAATTCATTACACACGTCGTCGTATTAATTTACTGTGTGACAATTCTTTTCTTCTATTTCAGGTTCATAAAAATGTTCAAACTAAATACTGAGTTCTATATCTTTGGTACTGTTCGCATTAATACAATGAATATGAATGAAATGCTATTTAGTATTGTCCGGATCTCCTAGCGACAAAACGATACGTAAGCGACTTATTTTTTTTTTGTGAAGGCTATTGCGTACACTCGGTGCTATGGGCGCATGGGTATTGTAAAACCAATAAAATCGTACAACAATGCATACATCGGATGATCTTGACCGTCGTCACGGTGCCCACACAGAACGTTGTGTCATAGACGTTACGAGAGATTGATTATCCGTTAAGATGGGAATCGGACGACGGCAGTCACGGTGAAATAATCATCCCACAACACCGATCTGGGGCAAAAACAGGCTTTGATAGAGGTGTGTTTAGACAAGGAAAATGCCGTTATCGCTATAACACGAGGCCTCTGAATTAAGATTTTACCCCCGTGATAATCCTTGAAAGGGAAGTCCGTTTTCGTCGTCGAAGTAACTAGAAGAAACGCGAGTGTGCATACGAACTCCTTCCCCTACTTTGAAATTTCTAATCATCCGCAAACTAGACAACGGATAGAATTAAATTTTCCGGTCGCCATCCTCGACTCGGCTTCAATTGATTAAGGACGCTAAAGGTAAAGCTAAAATATTCAGTCCAGTAGAAGTCGTAAAATGAAGCTGTTGTTTAATTTTTATTTCTATTGTCCATAGTAAAGTCGTAGTTTAGTTATTTTTTTGTTTCCAACAGTTGTTAAATAAAGAGGTTCCACAAACTACACGGCTGTTCTGCTGAACCTAATAAACGCATTGAATCAACATTGACCTACACATTGATCAGCATCGCTCTACCATCCATCGATCGATGCGTCTGTTACAACGGTCGCCCAAAGACTAGCTGAAAATATCAGCATCATATATATGTAGTACACGTTATATGTAAGCGCTGTTTACATATTACCACCGATCGACCGCATTGACTGATACAAACAATCACCTACAATATTATATATAATCATTATTAATGATGACACTATCTTCTGTCTACTTACCAAGGGAAGATGGGGAAAAAGGCTCATTGTCTTTTGTTGTGGAAACTTTACCCCCAAGTCACCTGTTGTGGCTCGAGGTACTCATTTCTATCTAGATATATTTATCTTAATTTGTGTGGATTTTTTCTCATTTTCTGCTGCTGCTGTTTTTGCCTGCTACAGCCTTTGCCGTAAAAACCGAACTGCCAGTCTTTTGGTCGTTTAGATTTTCGTGGCCATCGTCTGTCCGCCCTGCTGTTTAGCCTTCGTACTCCGCCTCGCTATTTCTGCATTGGCTTATATTTCTCTAACTATGTTATACTTTGCTTGCATTTACCTGCTGCTGCAACTGCGCCGTGCTTATTGCCAGGATAACGAAGAGAAGATATCGGCAAGCGGACTGCGGCGAAACACCCATTCCCATCAACTTATACCATCAATGAAGATATTCCTTTCGTTCTGCACAACTTTGGCATCTATATCGACTGGCACTCGGCATATCTTTTTCAACTACTAGTATATGACATACTGCTCGTTCATGCTCTCCAACTACATCTGCGTTCCTTGCGCGTCGGCGTCCGGCTCATGCTCTCCAGGTCTTTTCGTGTTTATTTCGCCAAATGTATGTCAGGCCATTACTCTGCTTTCCGTTCCCTTGCCTTCCGCGTCCTTTATTTTCATCGTCAACATCACAATCGAATCATCATCATTTCCGTTTTCTTCCGGCTCAGTTCCGCCGTGGCGACAGCTTCCCCGCTAGGCCACTTGCTATCCGCATATTCGTTTTCTTAATGTACCGTTTACTAAGCGGCTATGCGTAGCTAGTGAAGAAAATGTTGCTCATCATTATGGTGTCGATTTCTGTCACTAGTAATATTCACTATATCTGCGGCTAACTGGTCGACAGGTATCGATACATACTGCTTCAGCGTAAGCAATTGTCAGTCCGCAAGAAGCGATTTTTCGTAATCAGCAATAACCCGCTTGAGGTCGGCCTGTAATTGAGAACCGTTGAAAGGGAAACGTGCTTAGCATTGTATTCCGTGTCACTAAACTTCGTATTTGTATTACTGGTTATGGTGTGAGCGTGCTAGCTACAACCATCCTGCAACGAATGACTGACAGAACAATGTGGATAACTCACCTGCCAACCCAGTCTGCGAGCAAGTTCCTCACAACCATCATCACAGGTGCCAAGCAAAGCTACGTCCCTGGAAAATCACATGAACAAGTCAAGTGGCAAAACGAAATTAGATCAATACATTCACAGATCCGTTGAAGTCGATCCCAGGTCACACTTGTGCTAATCGAGGCGTGTAAAGAGCAGTACTGACCGATAATTATTCTCAGAGTCGAAGTCCAAACCGCAGCCGAAGCCGAGCAACCGCGACACCAAATCCCTTGAATGACCACACTTTTCGAGGTTGATTAGAAGCCGAGGAACTGCCGAATGCACACTGCAGGTCCAGCCATTAGTAACACTTGGACCTATTCTACCAGGTCACGCTTCAGAATATTCCCTATCTATGCATAATAAGCTACCGATACTAAGATCAAGAGGTGAAAAAATAAATATAGCTTATGTTGCTATTATTATTATTAATATTGGAAAGCCACAGCACTGCTGGCTTACCGGTCGACGAGCCCTGCGAAAGGTTGAACTTGAAGGGATGTGCCAATGATGACTAGCAAATCGCATTTCGCAAAATCCTCATCTGCCAAACGGTAAAACCTGCGCAGAGAAGTGTATTTAACAAGCGAACAAACAAATCGTGCTACTAACCTGCAAAATATGATGATGCTATTATGTGAGTATCTTCCAGACTGTCCTTTGAGCCCTGACCTAAATCCTTGCCTCATAGACTAATCCTTGCCTCATAAACTAGCTAACGAATGTCTACAGTACGCGACAGGCAACATTGCAGTACGTCTATTTTATGGTCTTGCTTGGCCGTTAATCGCTAAGAGCTCTTACCGTTCAGGGAGGTTTTCTCCGAAAAAAACGATATCCGGCTTTACAATCCCTTTACACTTTTTGCATTTGGGAATGTTGTTCGGTTTGGCTATCTCCGCTAAAACATGGAAAAAAAAAGCTGACAGTTATAAGCAGACAACGGCTTCAGTAAGCGGAGAATCTTCGATGACTATGCATAAAAATGACATGTGCCAGATAAGTTCGCTGTCGCTTCATGTACAACCCATGTATAAGATAGTATAGTGAATTGCGGACGATGTGATTCAATCCTATGAATTAATTGATGACTAGGTAAGCATCGTCTGTTTATATTGGTTATCCGTTGGCTAAAGCTCTTGGCACACCCTCCTTGACAATTGTCTTTGACACTGTCTATGGCAAACACACGTGACAAATCTGTTTGCCGCTCTAAAAAACCGGGAAGGAAACTGTTTTTTTTCGTTCCTGCTGTAGTTATTGGTCGTCACGCACGGGCACGGTATGTTAGACACGCCTGCCAATTCACAGGAAGTTATCGATGAAGTAGTTCTATTCAACACGAGTCACCTACCTTTCATCCATTCGAACGTATGAGGTTCGTGACAATCGAGGCAATGCGACGTATGGAAGGTACCATGGGCTTCCACGAGTTTCGCGTCAGGAATCCCGGCTTCCCGTTCAAGCGTGTCGATATTTTGCGTGTAAAGACGGAGCAGAAGACCCTGTCAACCAAGAGTCGAATTGAAACCACGACCCTCGACGATGATTTCATGAGTACCAGTATTAAATAAGTATGCGAATAATATATGTACCCAATGATACCAGGCGCTACATGGATATTTATTACAACTTCAATCTTGGTCACGATCTTCGCCGTTCATTTCTAATGTATATTATTTCGCACAAACCTTATCATACATAAGTTTCAAGAAATGATGAGCTTTTGTAGGCTTAAGTTTTTTTGGCATAAGCTCTTTGGCTAGCTCGAAGAACGGCGCAGGATTTTTGTAGAAATAGCCGATATCGAAGATGGCTTCGGGAGATGGTAAGTTGAACCGACCTAACTTCGAATAGATACCCATCGACGGACTGCAATGAACGGTAACGATAAGGATGCATGCTAATCAGTCAAATGAATATATTCGTTTCGGCTTTATCGATGTTTATGACTTTTGAAGTGTAGATTTAAGTTGAAAAGAAAATGTTACGACGATAATGACAATTCTAGGAAACCTCTCATTGACTATAATGTTAGTCGAGACGAATGGCCTTTTAGAGCCATTTGCTCGACGTAGGTACTCAAAGCGTTTCGAAAAACGACTGGAAAAGCGGACGAGTTGCTTTCAAAAAAAAGGACGAAACAGGACTGTTTTCCGTATTTAAGAAACGGAGAGGACTAGAAGCACGGATACCCCTGCAATCATAGCCAGGCAAACTAAATAATCAAAGCAAGCTAGCAGACTTGAAATAATTAAGCGGGTTATAGGAAACATGGGGGCAACGAGATAACTGCAACTTAACACTAAAAATAATTAAAAATTAACTAGCATAGTATAAAAGAGGTCACACAAGAGCAGTATCGAGTTTAATGTTCAGACTGTGATTGATTGAAATTAATTTTGGTTCGTTTTGAAATAACAAGTCATGACCGCGGAAGGGGGGCAACATGAAGAACGGTATGCGTTAGTACCTGATATTATATGATATTGTTAATTTCAGTCTGCTGCAGTATGCAACCGCACGGCAAGTCTAGTCGTAGTATTTTCGGCATTGGCTATAATAGCAAAATTCTATGTAAATTTTTCAAATAACGTCGTCATATTAGTCATGACTTTCACCCTTGGGCATTCTTCTTGATTACGTCAATTGCATTTCACCGATCACAGCTACGCGACGCCACCAACTCATTCCATCTATACATACCTAGATATAGATAATTGTTCCAAATTGCCCAAATGGGGCCACTTGAGGATGATTTTGTCAAAGGTAAGGGGCAGCTTACCTTCTGAAGTCGGGAATGCCTGCAGCTGTCGAAATGCCAGCTCCAACCATAAAAATCACATTGCGGCACTTGTCACTTTGAATGTATTTTACCACCGATTCGAGGGTAGGTTCCTCAAGGAAATGCGCTGGCTGCGATGAACAAGCCGTTCCGGAATGGTCTCTGCGGAAACAGACGAACAAAACATTTGAAAACAAGCAACCACAATAATGACATAGCCATAAGACAAATACGATTGAAGATTACTGCACAAACTTATAGTCTTCACCGGCGACCAGTACGTCTTCGTGTAAGTTACTGGGGCAAATCCAGAAGTGGAACGTAAACACTTCAAAAATTTGGCCATATTTGTCTATTCAGCTAGGCATTCATGCACACAAAGTTGGTTGAATAAACGCAAAGTACCTTCGAAATAAACGGTATAATCTGGACGTTTTGCCCATTCCAGCAAGTTTTGGTAGTTAGATATGTCGCTTTCCAGTGTTTTCTACGATTGTCAATATGAATTTTAACACTCATATTACATCACCCATGACAAACGAGTTCGACTGGCCGCCTGCCAGACTACATACTTTTTCGTTGTTTTACCTTAAAAAGGCCCAAATTTACATATATATTATAGACTATTATAGCGTAGGATCAGCATAGGATCTTGCTATTGGGCAGTGTTGGTACGTGAGCCCACATTATTGAACTGAGCATGGCGAGCCAACTTAGTGTGTCCATCGGGATTTGTCAGGCAACTTATAAGAGGACACACGTAGAGGAGTAAATTGCACAGAAATTTTACTTTAATTTCATAAATAATAAGCTTGTTAGGGATAGGAAGAACGACCTTTGACAATTTAATAGATGCATTTAATAAAAAGAATCACTGTTGTGGGAAATACTAGTAACCATGACGCCGTTAGGGCTTGTGCGAAGTGCGCGTTTTTACTACCACAAGTTCTGGGTTCCACTTTACTCTTATTCTTAGTTTAATCTGAAGCAATTTTCATAGTTCTCATAAACTGATGCACACATTCATAAACATTTAATAGCTATAGACAAATTGTCTTCTTTTACAACACTACGTAATTGCTCTGCTTTCACATTATGCTTTGTTATTCCAGTCTCTCTGAATCACAATTTTCCATATGAATAGCATACAATAAATCAAGCGACACGTCCAGGAGTAGAAATGTAACGAGATCGGTCGGTGACGGCACCTAGAGAATTATTATCGAAGTATAAACTTGACGCAGGATTAGAAAAAAAAAATAACAAACAACCCATTTGGGAGTGGAACACATAAAAAACCCGGTCATTATTAGAGGAATGATTGGAAACTTACCATCCAACCGTCTGCTACTAATAAGCACTGCATTCATCTAATGATACTGCTCTTGAAAACCCTCATCGTACCGAATCGCGTTATTCCGTCCACAGCATCTACTAGTAAGCGTTTGTATGATTGGTATCTATATGGGTTTTACTTTGTATTGATGTAGCAGTTCACTAGAACGCTAAATGGCGGTAGAAAAATTATTTAAATCAGCCAATGCTTGCCTTTCAGAAGAGAAGCCCAATTTCCGAGACAAATAATTGGATATGTTTGAGATAAAATCCTCCTTTTGGCGGTCATCTGCGCGAAAAAACAGTAGACAAATGATTATTAATAACTATAATAACTAGATAGAAGTGGCTGAAGGACTCTTTGAGCCGGCACAATTCGTTGGTTTTATTCTTAATGATTTGTTTCGTCGTTGTCGTCATCAGGAAGCAGCACTACTCCATGAAAAAGCTCTCCCAATTCACAGATATGGTATTGTGTAAAATACTTTCTTCGGGATATTCACGACTTACAAATCACCTATATAAATATCTGCCTGAATCTATAGGAGGCTTCATGGGTATAATCCTTTTAAAGGTGACATACAAAGTGCTTCTAAGTAAACAGGTTATTGTTCTTAAAGGAGTCAAAAATCCGTTGTATTAGCTCACATGGCCTGCTGTACGTAGGTCAGACTGTGTCTGCTTACTCTCGAAGATGTCATGTGAAAGACAAAAAAATAGAGGTGGGAACTACAGCGTATGCAATTATGTTATGCTCAAAGAAGAAAAATATATAGCTATTGTTGTAAAAACTTGATTTAGTATCAGCTCCCCGATTAGATAATTGCGTATGAATGTTACGATGCACTACTTACAATACGACGTTCTACGATAAAACGGAGCGTTCACTGTCTTTGATAGAATTGTTCTTCATTCTGTTTATATGCATGTGAAAAAGTTCCGAATTTATTAAAGTTCTAATTTATTAAAAGGAACAGCCATCTTCCCACCTTTTTCAGCGGGGCTATTTGGTGGCGAAGTGACATGCGGCTTCTTGCAGCTACCACCGAGGCACGAAGTAGTTCGATCTTCAGACGAGGTCCGGGAGAAAGTTGGCGATGGTGGCTCTAAAGGACTAGCTCTGCTACTGCCGCTGGCTCCAATCACCTGCAGCAAACCTGAAGATGACGCACCTCCTGAAGCCATTTGATCTGCCCCTGAAGCCGTGCTATCATCAGAACAAGCTGTAGCCGAGAAAGCCTGCTGCGTTGATTTACTTTTGTTCTCGGCTTTATGACCGGAGCAATCGTTGCCTCTGTCGAGACTATGGTCTCCTGAAATAAATATGAATTTCGAGGGTTCAAAAGAGAAAACAGCTATTATTATTACTATATAAGGATCTAATCTAAGGAGCAAATTTACAGCGTATTTGAATAGATGGCCGGGCGATTTCTCCACGAAAACAAGTGGAAGTACGCCCGATTTTAAAGAAAAGTAAAGTATAACTAATGATCCACACCCGAATAAATATTTCGAGTTTTATGTCCGATGATGCCTCTAGGCATTGCCTCAGACGACTGGCTCCCAGCAAAAAAGCAAATGTGTCTACGCCCGTTTCGAACTCAGAATATCTCACGTATTCCTACCTTAATAAGCAACGACACTGGATCTCGTCTGTATAATTCTCCTATTGCGACTTAACGAATAAATTTCATTGTCCAATTCGTAAGTCGCTATTCTGTTATCATAAATTTCACACCTACAATTCATAAATGTAACATAAATAGTGTGACGTATTTATAAAAAGAGATTTTCTGCATTACTCTGACACCATAGTTCTTCAACATGGTAATAGAACATTCGCAGAATTTTTACTCACACAATTCTATCTATGTTTTCATTCGTAATATACCACGTAAACCACGTTAGACTATAGCGACTACTAACTCGAGACATGTACTTTACAAGGTTGCAAACGCAACACGATATGGCCCCATATTCTACCCAACAAATTTTACGATCGATCTAAATTTACGGTACGGAAAAGCTATCTGACTAGAAATTCGGAGCTAGGGCTGGATGTCACAGAGAGTTATAGATTGTGCGCGACTTAACGAAACTTCATCGGGAAACAGAATGATACATGCAGCTCAGCGTGAACCGTACTCCATCTATATCTGGACGTCCGTGACAAACAGGCTAAACAGCTACAATCGCACATATGAATGAAACACAGAATAAATGGATTTTAAGGACTCGTATTCTCACAAGGAGTAACCAAAAGTCTTCAAGAAACGAGCGAAACATGACAAATATCGCGCAAGCTTTTTTTCATGCTCGCCTTACAAAGCTCAGCTGAAATTTTTAAAGACGGATTTCGGAAGCAAGCATATGATTCGTAGAGGGCGCCGCACCGCGCATTTGGAAAACAATCAGTATGTAGCACCAGTGGTTCGGGTATTATATAATAAAATGATAATAATAACAGCTAACGCGTCCACTGAGTAAACTCATCACATAATACTATTACCCGATAGTACCGTAAATATTATTATATATCGTTTGAGTATCCCCTTCACTGCCTCTTTGAGAAAGCTTATGTGTACTGCATGACCGATTAGTCGGGTGTTGCGCCCGAGGAAGCAGGATGAGTCCAGTAGCTCATCACCTGAAATGACCCCAAAATGATTGATAATCCATTTGGCGGACTTCACGAGTATCCTGAAAAGGCCCCGAATCAATGAATCAAGTTTTCCTTCCATAATATGCCTGCATGCTGTCATTAACCCGAAGTGGGAACTTCGGACAAAGATCCGAACTACCCAAGGAACGTCTTAACAATTACTAACGTAAGCATCTTTGACTGCAAGCTTAGCTAAACCCTTAATGGATTAGCTAAAAGAATACGATTAATATGTTGCTTTACTGCCAACAAAAAAACAATAAATAATTGACCGAAACAATGGACAGATTATAATAAAGGCCTTCTTATAGTACGGGAATGCTATGCTTGTAAACGAAAACGAAAAATGAAATCATCATTCCTTGGGAAGCCCAATTATATTCCTGTTTTTTTTTTTTATGAAAAACGAGATGCTCGAAGTTTTTGTCTTGAAATCAAAATATTTAAACACATCTGCATTAAAAAGTGACGACTCTCGTCTCACCTGTTCAAACGTCTGTTTTGTGTGTTCACGTTATACAACATTATTCAATCTCTGACGTTGTGTGCATGTACACTGTATTTGAACCTGGGTAACGTTATGCGTTTCTAAGTTTACTGGGAGAATAAGTTACTACTGTACTATCACTGGGACAAGTTTGCTTGGCATCGAATTCATAGGGCAAAACAAGTAGCGGTTGGGGTCAGGCTCGATAGCGGAGAAATCTCATTGTTGAATTCCTTTGGTATACGTTTCATCGGGCTGAAAACTCGACATATTTTCTTACAAAAAAGCGGGATATGATCTGTCTAATTGTATTATTTACTACGATGTAATCCCATTAAAATCAAGCACTGGAGGTTGTAAAGTTGGAATGCATAGCTTAGATCTCGCAGAAGGATAGTTCCTCATTGGTATATGATGGTCATGACCGTTTATATTTACCTTAATGAGAAAAAAACTTGAATTGCCTTTTGTGACAGTAGGCAGGACACGGGACCAGCAAGCATTAAGTGTCGGGTTAGATCCCTATTCGACGATCCGTTTTCACGAACTGTTTTAGTTTTTAATTTCTGTCCGCCACTAATAACTTATCATTAGTCTGAGTATTACTACGTTGACTACTGACGATGATATCATCAAACATATGAGACGAAGAAATGCACTGAAACGAGAAATAGAGTGTTATCAAAGCAGTTGCAAAATTTCAGCGGGTCTTCGAATGTCTCACAGCGACATATTTTTTCATTAAGATCTCGTCCCTAGCACCTTAAGTTTAATGGGTCAACATATTTGACCCACTGCATGAAATAGTAAGCAATTTTTGCAAGGTTGTATCTATTAGTTGACAGCAATAGTGCTTGTAATTCCTAGAGAGCTGCATTGGCTGAAATCAGCTCAGTGAAAAGTACAACATATATTTCTCGGCACAACGCGACAAAACGTTTTCAAATGAATCTATATTTGCCGCAGAGCTTACCGTACAATCTCTGCGTAGAATGACAGTAAACAAGCATTTACTTCAACGCTTTCAGGTGCCGTACATGTCCAGTAAAAGTATCTCTTTGAACTCCAGCAGGTACCTGCACCAAACATCATTTTGAAGTGCATACACTTAATAATTAACCACATCTAATTAACATCGTGTACGATCAGCAGCAGCAACACAGCCCTTAACTTTTGTACTTTATAGCAACCTGTTCAGTTTTACGGTTGTAGTCCAAGTGCCTTAAGTATTCCGAATTGAGCTTACGTATTAAGCATTTTCCTATAAACTTCTCACTTTTAAATTCAAAACACAAACGGAATAACTAGAGCCCCGTGGTGACGGAAAATATTGTCAAGAAACGAACAAGGTTCCTACAACAATAATTCATCATAGCATTCGATATAATATATCTACACAGGCAGTGGGTGATCTGGACACGTACTCCAAAAATGGTCCTTCACCTTAACGATTCCAGCTATACTATGCTGAAAGAAATCAAGTAAACTGTAATACTACAGCACGCTTCCTGTCTACACAATCAGGTAACGGACTTCCCGTTTACTGTCCAATACGTAAAAACGACGACACGTCGACGTTTCGCTACTTTTTGCGCTCTGCGATTTTCATCGTCAGGCGTAACCAGATCAGCACCAGATGGCTCAGTGGGCTTCGCAGACGCTTAGTCCAACTCCAGGCAAGGGACTTGGAAAGGGTATCACTTAAACCAGGAAAGGTAAGCTTTCCGCAAGCAAACAGATAAATGGCGTTTCACGTCAGGCGCTCCTTGGGGCGAGACAAATGATAAATTCGTTCGGTCTGGTGCTTCGCCGACAACTTCAGATGCAATGGGTTGGTAACTGAGCCCGAGAACGAAGAACCAATATACATTGTAGCTGAAGAGGTCCTCCCATAGCGGGGTTTCATAGCTATGGCTATAGCTATGCCCAGATGCCGATTCTCCAGGACCGGACTGGCTCAGTAAGCGGTTGTAAAGAGAAGTAGAGCTAGCGACAAACAGATTAAACGAAGAGGTTTTCAAAGAAAGGTTTGAGAGAAATAAAGAACGATAACACTAAGACCCACAAGAAAATCCTTACTGTTGCATCAGCATCCTTCACAAGACTGCTGCAAGCACCCACGACTTAATGGCACTGCGTTCATCTGAATCGTCCTGGCTGCGCTGGGGGAACAGCCAAACAGGGGAGCACTTAGCAACAGACAACAGATTCTATCCGAGATCGCAACATGCTACAATTTTTTTTCCTGTGTCGCATCCTCCCTAGCTGTGTATTTTGAATTCATGCATAGTGCCGTTTCGGTATCGGGATGCCGATATTGGTTCTTGGATAAGTTTACAAGAATTGCGGGCTAATATCCGCCTATCAACAGTTCAGCAGAAGAATTAGCGCTTCTGTGCAACGCATGAGATGGGACCGACAATCGGGCTGCTATTACGATACTGTGGAATAACTGTAAGCTTCCGAGATCATTTAGTTGCCGAAAAGTTTCGAGGCAGGACAGAAAGAAGCTTGTGAGGTCATGAATCTGTAAGCGGCCAATATGGCGAGACACCAAGAACGGTTGCTTTAGCTGTCCAGGTCATCCACCCTTGGTTCCATATGAATGAGTGCAATAGAGTAGTAACATAACGAAATCTTTGTTTACTTAATTATTGAAGGATCCGCCGATAGATATTCGCTAACCATCGCTCTTGTGAACATTCATACTTCGACTTCACGTTGAAAATCCGTTCATCTACTTAAACCTTCGAAGATCAGAACACTATGATAATATTAACTATAATAGCACTGTTAGACCCCAACTGCATTAACAGGCCGCCTTACTAGATTATAAAATTAAATTGGTTAAAGCCTAAGGCTTTAAATGACCGAAATTCCTTCTATTAGGGACGCAGGAAACGAACAGACTTCAGCTGTATTCGATGCAGCTGAGTTCAAGCTACACACAACTCAGATGATTACAAAGGTAACTACTTTTATTCTAATCCATACTTCATTTAACGGACTCCTAACTTGTTCGTTGATCCATGCCATTAAAACTTTCCGCTTCAACACATCGTTGGACGGCTGAAATATTTGTGTCTAAACCCGCTGGATTTCGTATTCACTAATGTTATACAGTTCATTAACCATCGAGTGAGGTGGTGACATTGAGACTCGTTTCCTTAATAGATGCTCTAGGGTTTTGTATTATGTTTATTAGGTTAGACATAGCCATTGAAGCCAAATCTTTTTATCCTAGCCACCTTATCACAGACCAGTCTTTGAAATATGATGTACTAAGTGATATTCAAGAGCAAAGTGATCCACGTTTTTGCTGCGACGTTGAAATATAAAAGAGAGGATGCGTAGATTCGTCTTCTTTGTTCTCCCCCTTTATTTATAACTCCTTTGTTTGAACGTTACGTTTCACTATTTCATGTCTATCTATTTTATGTAGATGCACATTCATAAATATTTTTCTATATATCTACCATCTATTTTATAATATAGGGCCTGACCGACTTAACCATGCTTGTTTTTTGTGCCTCGTAAAATATAATGTTCACAAACGGGTAGAGGAATTATACGGACTTATACAAAATATATTATCCGCATGCAGTTTTATCCTTATGGTTTTTCAAAGCGAGCAGCTTTACGTCCCATGGAACAAAAAATTGACCACTCACCATAAGACTCGCTCGCCCATATTTTGCGGCAATACACCACCATTATAGTTTTATATTAACTAGAAAAACGCGACACTCAAGCTAGGAAAAGCTGAACTATCATCGCGTTAAACGATGAACCCACTGCATTATATCTCTGCTTTCTATATATACATATACATATACTTCTGCTCGGTTTTCTAGTATTGAAACGTTGCGGTTTGGACCCTTACAACCTGTAAAAGACACGCCTATGCTCTGAACATGTGACCAGCAAGACCCTCAGTATAATACGCTCAGGCTGATCGAAGCTAACGAGACAGATAATCGACAACACTAAATTACTGAGCTTTATAGAAGCCGGGACAATTACAGGGTAAAAGCAGAAAAGACAACTACTTCAGCGGTTGAAGGATCGTTTTATCATTTGACTACGCAGAGTGCGCGAGCGGTTCCTTATTAATTTCCGATAACGCAGATAACGTTGTCTTGCGTGAAACCATTTTTCTTGTTACTATGATAAACCAAATCATATTATTTAGTAACGCGCTCTGAGAATTGAAAAATTACATTAAACTGTTACCGTTATCTGTCTGTCGGATTTTTCGTTAAATATAACAAAAACTAAGCAAAAATATTTTGTTACTTTTCATGTAAAAAAAAGATTTTTTTTTGATAATTAGAAACGCGTTGAAGTGTGTGATTGAAGCGTCTCGCTAATAAGAATTGTGCCTGAAGTCGATTGCTATTTTTAATAAGGTACGGCCCAGCGGGGGAGCTTTTTGGGCAAATAGTACATTAAAGTTCCATTTCTAGTATACCAGATATATGCCGCTTTCAATAATGCCATTGGACTTAAAGGTATGTATGTGGGTTGATTATGCATGCAGTTGGACTCGCAATAGTGAACGTTGCGTAGAGCTGGGAATTTGATCTAACTCCTCTAATGTTTTTGCACATACCGGTTGACCATGTTTCCCGTTAAAGACACATTAACTACGTATCTGTCATGAAATGTTACTCTGAAATTAATTAACAGAGTGTATACTATGGTCCCATGATTACAACGTGAAATCCCAGTCAAAACAGCCAAATACTGTACAAATATAGCAAAGAAACGAGGGTTTCCTAAGATAGAGTGAGCATGAAGGAACTCATAAGGCCACAAATAATTGATTAGGAAAAAGTTTTTCTTGACTAGGCTTATATTAGAAACAGCTAGATTTCTTTCGGAAGCGAAAATTTCTTAGGATCTGTCACAGACAGATAGAATTGACTATTTGCAATAAAATATAACTTTCACCAGTAGCCCATCGATGCTCACGCTATGATCTACATCATAGAAAGCAAAAACAATTTGGTAAATTTGCAAAAATAGTTTTAATTCCGATTTTGTGACCTATCCTAGGCTGGGAACTGAGTACCCGTATGTGCCTTTATGTAAGCTCACTTGAAAATGGATCATTCATTCGTTACGTTATTTTGGAAGCAAATTTTTTAAATCGCCCGCCTCTTCTAGTTCTGTCTCCACCACGGTGGCGACATTACAGGGTACGGCATCTAAACGGAACTTTCTCTTACGGTTTGATTGTATTTGAATGAGGTATATTTTAGCGAAATTTCTACATGCATTAAAAACGCCATTCGTGCCATGTATATTCAACCGATGTACTATTTACCGCAGTTGCAGCTTAAACTCAAGACCTTAATTTTTCACCCGACATCTTGAAACTAATCCTTTTTAATCCGCAAAGAACTTTTTAATAGTAACCCTGAGCCAAGCTTTATTAGTAGGTAAAAACTTTTTGAGGTGTTACTTAAATGCACTAAATACAAAAAAATTAGCAAAATTACGTCTTAGGATGATAGCAGGTCAAAAATCTCAAAAATATTTCGAGAGCTTCCCTAAATTTATAAAAGTGCAAAAAGGCGTAAATTACCTAGAAAAAACTAACCTTTGCAGTTTACCTAGGCGACCCAATTAACAATTGATATTTTCATTATTCATCAAACGATTTATTCATCAAAATAACCGTTAATTTTTGTATCAAAAATAACTAAACCTAAAATCTATTGAGAATCTTCCGATTTTTCCTACGGAAATTTTTCTTGATTTTTTTTAAACCGCATGAAAACTGGCAATATGAATCTATTGTACAATAGTACATTTTTGCTTAGTTTGTAGAAACGATGTATGACTTTGTATCTTAGTTAGTTTGCTAGTGCTGCTCTTGAAAAAAAAAAATCAATTTTCGTCTTATACCAAGAATGGTGCATGAGCGCATGTCCGTAACGACACACAGTCTACTAAAATGTCGAATCTAACTGATGTACCCTATATCATAAAAATATTAGGTATCGATAATAGCAATAAGTCATTAATAAAAAAAAAAATTGTTGTTGTATAACATGAAACGACTATTTTCAAAGTCAGCTCCTCAAATGATCCTTATTTGCCTCGCAGACGCAACAGGTTCAATGATAGCACACAAGATTGATTAACGAATGTCCAAAAGCACTATCTTTTAGTTCTTCATAGATATCCCTACTTAGCTAACGCTGGATATATTTCTAATCCTTATTATGTCGTTCTGTTTTATAAGTCATCCATCATTATTCCTCTACGTGTGATACAAAACATTCGATATTTAGTCGTATGTAATTACGATATTTATTCTCTATATATATATACGTATATAAATAGGACTATAGTGACAATAATCATGACGGACTCAAGCTCAATGGAGACTAGTATAATGGATGCGTAAAATCATCAATCCTAATTTAGACAACACAATTAGCCTGCTATTTGTTTCGAATTGCTTACCCATGACTGACGGCGTTTCCCACACTTCTTCAGCACCTGCTTTAATAGCGTACTGAGATGACACTGGAAACCTTGCAATAAAGGAGTACAAACTAGTAATCCGTTTAGTCCATTTGATGAAAAAGCAGTTTTCGTATCGGTGAGGGAAAGGTCCGTCTTTTCGAATAAGTGTCGTCGAGACGACACTACCGAAACTAGCCGACAACTGTCCCCGATCTGTCCGTGGACAAGGTAAAAGAAATACTGTCAAACCGATTTGCCTGCTAATTCTTTCGGCTGCAATTCGCATGGAAGCTTAGTTCCATACAACCTTCACAAGACACCAAACGACCTCATCAACGCAGGCCACCAGCTGACCCGAACACTAAACTTAGTAACCCTGTCTGGCTTACCACGGGTTCACCAGCCCTCGCTAAATCGCGTTCTTTGACCAACACCCCACACACCCAGTGCACCGCGGGTGTCAAACAACATTCCTTGTCTCTGCTATGTTTTGAGCAGTTGGCAAATTTGTCCTCGAAAATTATTCGCTTTCTGTGCAGGCTTCTGTGTTTTATCCTATAGGGTTTTTGCGTGTTTCCTTCAGTGAAGAGTCACTCAGTCAGCAGCCGAAAACAGCAGTTTAATGAATCTAATCATTTGTACACAGTGTGAACACAATGGTCTATCCGATTTCCCAATTTGATGTCACCAGCTCACTCGCATTCTCTTCAACCGTTGGGTCTGAGTAGACAACTGCTATGACTTATCCAGCGGAACTAGGAACAAGCGGATGAAAGCCAGCGCGGGCCTCTAACAAACTGCCCGAACGAGGCACAAACCAGCTACCCAACGGTGCTAAGAATGTTAAAAAGAAGATAGGCGAGAGGGTGTCTTGTGTAGATCTCGAGTAACTTTTACTGATTGTAAAGAATATATCGTTAAGTATACGGACATACATTACGATGTCTATGCGACAATGTGTCGATTCTGTTAGGACAAGCAATAAAACACCTATATATTGAATTACAAAACAAGACAAAGTAACACGATTAGTAAAACGCCTGACTTAATTGTATAATAAAGGGTCGGAACACGCGGTTCTCAGCCATACGTTAAGCCAAAAAGCACCTCTGCAAAAGCTTTGTTGAGTGAGCTTTTGTCTTAACGTGCCCTTACACTACATTACAGATAAGAAGATAGATTCTACATAGATGTTGCGCCAATAGCATGGCTCTCTGATGCTACGAAATGGGTTGATATTTCGACTTGCATGTGCCTTGAAAGGAACACCATACTTACTCAGCGTAATGGGGTGACTGGGCCCAGCCTCTGATCAGAGGAGACCAATGCTATGTAAAGTCACGCCAACCAAACGTCAATGGCACATAATTTATTTGAAACCAGAAATTTATTTGGATATCTAACATGTATGGCTCAGCGCGTCTTCATACCGCTGCGCGAGTACCAATGCTACGCTAAAGTCTCTGCTGGTGCTGTAGCCAAGGGAGAGCGGTGTTAAATTGATCTCTCTTAAAATAAAAAAAAAAAAAAACAACGAAATCCCTGACGCTGACGAAAAACGCTGACTTGTTTGGTCGAAGTGATTCTAGAAAACAGTGAAAATCTATCTTATCGTCTAAAACAGTGAGTTTGCTACAGTAAAGCACTATCAATCGTTAATGCTGACTTCTGCATTCTGTTGTTGTTCATTAACCCGGCACGAAACGAACTTAGCAAAGGATAAGTAAATGGTAATTTATCAATGAAGCACATGTGGAAATTATTGTGCAGCGTAATGTCCAAATTATTATCTGTGTATCTCAGGAACAACGACTTCTTCGAACAGCGACATACTACATTTTGAATATCTTGTCGGTTTGAATTAGCATCAGCTCCATATAAAAGATCAAATATATAGATATAATGATCAAACTCGGCCTTCATAAAGCTAGGACCAACAGTGCTTAGCCCATTACAGCGCACAGCGTCGTGCCTGGTGTCACTTAATGGCTAACGTTAAATTTTCTAAAAAAAATTTCACCGTCTGAGTGGTATAGATCGAATAGTATAGCAGAATAGTCACTGATAACGACATTACTTGATTAAATAAATTATATTGACTTGACACTTAACATATTATCTCATAGTTCATCGTAATCGTAGTGTAAAAATCTTATTTTACAAATTCAGATTTGCAAAGAGTGGCATCTTTTGCAAGGATCTTCGTGTAAACGTTTGGAATACATTAATTTTAAACTTTCAATGTTCCACGAAGATTTTCGGTTTACTCTGCATATATACTTCTGCTATTGTTCAGAGAAACATTTTGATGATCAGAAAATATTGTTTTTTCTTAAGTGAAATATTTTACAAACTCAAATCTACCCTTTGTTCTTCGCGCATTATCAGTTGTCTCTTATGGTGTCGTAAAGTTACACGTCTATTCTGTGACGCTGAATTTCAGTCCAGTAAATCCGCGGGTTCCGTCGTTTAGGCGAATTCTTCGGGAGCGGAACGCCTTTTCTTGAAGAATTTTTTTCGTCTGCCGTCTGCTCAAGCAGCTGAACTGAGAGGCGAGCCGAGCCGAAGGTAGTGGCTGGATGCGATGGTGGAAAAGGAATTGTCGGTACACGACCGACAACAACTAAAAGAAGAGCGGGGCAAATAATAGAATGATGCTCCACCATTTCCTGCTCTGTGCATTGAGTTAGTCTACGGCTCTGCATAGATCGGACTATTCAGATTTCCTGTGGATCATAGTGTTCCATACCGACGAGTAGTCCCATCTCGCCACTCGTTTCTAAATGTTGGTCGCTGCTGTTGCGACGGCCGCGGTAAACCTTTGCGCAATAAAGCAGACGGGCTGTCAAACTGTTAACTGCAGGCCATAAGCGTTTGCCATCGCTATATCGGCTAGATATCGGTAGGAACGGTAAGACAGCATGTTGGCAGTAGAATCACTTGATAAGCGGAAGATAATTGCAAAGCAGCAAGACTTCAGCTGGCTAATAAGAAAATGATCAAGACATAAATGCCCTTACAACGAGCGCTTTATCTAAGGATCACCGAATCAATCCAGTGGAGTGAGGAAAGGAGAAAATTGTAGGAGTTTATTCGATAAATACCTAAGATCAGTTGAAGACTTACCGTGGCCTCCAAATAGAATACGCAGGACAACGAGCGGTCTACGGAGTCGAGTTGGTCTCACCATTAAACCGTGCAGAAAGACACGCCGGGACAAGCAGTGTTACGTTCCACTGAAAAGAAACAAGAGTAACTGCTTAACCTTCTATATCAGTGCAGCGACTTTTGATCTTTTTTGTTTTTCGATCATGTACCTCTGCTTAGGCTGAGTTCGTTTAGCGTGCGGTACAAGAAAACCTGTGGCTCAAACAGCAAGCAAAGTATCTTTGTCCGTTTTATCATTTCGTGACTGGCAGTAATCGCTTACCACCAGATTTTGTTCATTTTGAATACTCGTCACCTCCTGAAGTTTCCAGGAAAATGTAAAAATTAAGGATTTCACATGGACAGGCGATGACGACAATAACAGTAATAATGTGAGTTACTTCCCCTCCAGCCGTGAGCTGCAAATAATTTTTTCACAACGAAAGCATTCCACGGAATTGAGAAGCCTTCATAAAAACATGGTGAGATGACCCTAGGCTCTTAACGCTGGGGTCAGGTGAGGGCGCAACCAGTGAGCAATCACTGACACATACAGACCGTACGACTGCGGATAGTGGACATATAGGCGAGTGCTGAAAGCCATTAGTTAAAACAGAAGTGCAACAAAACAGGCATTTGATATAGAAAGAAAATCTATTGCAGCGAATCTTCACCTGCGATGCTATGATCACCACCTTCAAGGTCGATTATTAGAAATATCGCATACTAGAAATAGCTAAGGCAATATCAAAGCGACGCAAAGTCCCGATATATAGACACAACAGCATATCAAATTCTCTTTATCCATTTTTATTCGTGTAACTCGACGAGTACTTCTACGAAACATAAAGAAGAAGCTTGTCGCTCTTGAGGGAATGAAGCACGTGAATTAGGATTGTTGGGGCATTATCGCGACTACTCCTGAGGTGGATCTGGACGGATGCTCCGGAAGGACACAAAGTATGTTTCGTATCGTACATTGTTGGTTATTATTGTGGTAGATATTTAATGAAACAATGTGACTTAACAACGTGACAACAAAAGAAAATATTTTAGCATTGTCTTTATCTGTACAATAGCAAATCGCGGTCAAGTGGAGTGCAAGCGAAACTGCCAGGTATTGACGGATAACTGTATAGCAACAGGATTAACGAGAAATATTGTACTGACAGCAAGAGTGTAAACTAAAGGAAAATCGTCATTCCCACCTTAATGCTTAAGTATTTAGTTAATAGTTTTTTCGAACTCATCCAGTGTTATTGCTAGAAAATACAGAGTTAGGTGATTGGCCGCCGTGGGTCTACATGAACTTTAAGCTTTGAGCCTATCTTGCCTTACGTATACCTTCATTTAATACGAAAGTACATGATTACTACACTACGACGGGGACTGTTTAAACAGAAGGAATATAATTTTTAAGGTTTCTAGGTAGACTTGAATTAATACTCACATTATTGTGTGCTTATCGTATAAACAGATAGTCATAGCGGACAACCAAACAGATAACGATAGCGTTATCTCGAGAGTGGAATCCCCATATTTTTCTTAACTTGTGAGAAAATAATAAATCTTGTCTTTCTTTTAATACAATTGTTTCCTCTGTACTTTCATCTAAAATGTCACCCTGCTCTGCTAGGACACAATTTACAGAACATCAATTTCCTATTTTTAGATTGTTTCAGTACAATATTATAAACTAATCGTTCCCTATCATTGTAGTTCTGTCCAGTAGGCTTCTATTCAGTTCTATTGTAATGACGCACCTGAAAACTACAAAGCAAGTATTCTCAATGTGAAACTAAGTCAAAACTTACCTATTCGGGTTGTGCATATTCTGCAATAAGTACGCTGGCTTGTTATAACGAAAAGCTAGCTGTCTTAGCTTAACTAAATATTCAGAGCCACATTACATCATGGCTAAATTTTCTCGACGAGAAAATATTCCCTCGTCCAGAGAGCATAATGCAAAGTTGTTTTTTTAGCGTATTAATCATAAAGAATTACATAGGCTAAATATATAATATCTGGGCAACCGAATATTTATATGAAGGGCTTTTGTGGGGCGCCGTCGACCTTTTTTCTTGACTTCCTTAAATATATATTTTCTGAATTTTCTTAATGAGTATGCTCCGAAATGATCAAAAGTTGGCTGAGAACGTATTCTTGCTTTCTAGGATTTCAGACTACATGCGATTTTTTTGCATCTGCCAAATAATACGACTTTCGAAGTCAGAGGCTAACTACATGTCATACAAAAAAAGAGGAGCATATGGCGCTATTTATATATGCAATTGAACTAGTAAACTTAGCTTACTTATTGTTCCTCTTCGTGAGATTATCGGAACGCAGAACACGACTACGTCATGTGTTAGTTAGTTTTACTCTGTTATTATATTCCAGCCTTAGGCGCATTTCATATAGAACGATTACTTTACGTCGATCGGATGTGCCCTATGCTCTTGGAACGCAGAAAGGGTGCCCTTCAATTGTCAGGTTTTACCTTGTTCGTTCAATTTTTTAATGGGTTTCACAAGCAGATATAGCTAGGACAGCTAGCCGATGTCTTGTCTTATGCGGGCGGCTTTTTCCAAGGTTGATCTCTTTCGCGTGCTTTATCTAGTTGAAAGTAGACAGATATATAGAATGAACATGTTTTGAGCTAGCTAATTGACTAAATAGGCCCTGTATTAATTTAAGCGTCACCTGGAAATGCACCCCACTAAGATGGTACTGTGTGTATTTAAGCATGATTATACGGTCAAAGAAGTTTTAGTGAACAAGCAGCTTGCCGCACTAACGTTGGGAATTGCACGCTTGGCCTCAAAAAGTGAGCGGATTAAATTTACGAGCGATGCGAGATGAAGCTGATTTTTGAACGCCGTTAGAATCAGTGATGCAATTATGGGCACAATTCAAACAGTTCAAACATGACAGTTTTCTATGACCGTAATATAAAGCCTGTGAGAAGATCTTAGAACCACGAAATTTCTTATTCCAGTCCTGCAAGGCACGTGTGAATCATGGCGGTGTTGTACTTGTATATGATCACTATCAACAATGTGAAAAATGATGTTGTAATTTTCGATACAATAATTCATCAATGTTTGGGAATTCTTCGAAAAGTCTGTCACCTAAATTTATTCAATAATTTGTTAAACTGATGAGAAAATAAGACAGTTTAAGGTATATATATATATATATATATATATATATATATATATATATATATATAATCATTTGTGTGTTTAAAAAATGTTTGCTCCTCTATGGTCGGAGAACCTCATACCGTGAGGGATAACGGCATAGAGTGCTTTAAAAAACCTACTTTGCTCTTAGCAAGCTATAAAAGCCAATCCTTGACGTCGTTCTTTCTCTTTCGGATTAAAGGTCCCCATGCCTGCGAATTACATATTAGCTGTCTATTAAGATTCACCATTGAAACGCACATTATGTTAAAGGGGGTAGGGACTTATATGCGTTAATTCCAACCAATATTCATCTCCAGTACTTAAGAGTACTAACTGTAAAATTTATGAGCGTTCTCGCGCGTGTAAGTAGACATTTTGATTATCATGCATCATTGCAATTAAATTCTAATATTTATAGAATAATAACTATTTCTATTATTCAGTTGTTGTTCTTATATGAGCCCATTTTTAACGCAAAGATCGTTACATTTCAGATGATTGCCTGTTTGTCGAATGTCTACGACTAAAACCTGGGACCAGTGCACATGTGGCCATTATTAGCGAACTGGCGGCTGTATTCGCCGCGGAATCAGACTTCGCTTAAACAGAGGTGAAAATTGTCAACATTGCCGTCGTTGTGGTGTCGATTTTGTTCGTCATAGACGACCTTTTAACGCATTCCCTGCGCGTGACGCTGGCGACAGGTTCGTCTACGCACTGTAGATTTTTCTGTTAAAAGTAATACTTACCTGTATGTAGTTTCCGTAGCATCAACCTGGCAAGCCAAAACTCGCCTTAATAATTGCAGGGAGTAGCTGGATTTAATTGGAACGGGAAGCGCTTTGCGATGGTACAGGTTCGGCGATCGTCGGAGTGTAGGACGTTTATGACTTTACCGATGGATAATCCGCTCGTGTCGTACTCAAATAGACGAAGATATCTCTCGACAGCAGTAAACTACGTAAGTACTCGAAGTTTATAAACTTCGAGTACTTAAGACGTAGCACACGTTGCCGTCTTGCATATCGACGTGTAGAGTTGACACCGTTTCTTTGCTCGAAATGATAATTATATTTGTCAGGGTTGTGCTATCGAAGTGCTTGAACGATGATACGTCGTGCAGAAATGGGTGCCAAGTCTAGGGTACGGCGCTAGACCATTAAGGGTGGGTAATTTTCTGTTGAGAACAAAAAATATCCAATTTTTTACAGTCTTTTAGATATGAAATATGAAGTTATTATATAGAGTTATTTCGAATATATCGGGCATTACCGACCTACTGCTCATCAAACAGCTCGCACGTGTTTATAATATCGTAACTGATAATATTCGGACTAGATACAAATAATTCTAACTAGTTTTAGCTTTCGTGCATACTATATATAAAATGTTGCACTCTAGAACAATTGATGCACTTAGATGGCCCTGATTGCGCGTATTAATCCTTTTATTCCTGAAAGCGTAGACCCTAAAAACAATACCAAAGGGTTAGTTAAAAGGTTACCAGTTACAAGTGAACTGTTCTACGACATTCGGCCGTTAGCTTGAACGGTTATATTCTGTGTAATATAGAGAAAGTCATTAGATTTATATTTTTTAACCACCGTCTATATAATTTTGTCTAAGTAGTACATCTTTGTTTCATGTTCAAGGATAAAGTTGATGCTCTACGCTAGTTCCAGTTGTCTCAAACAAGGCTGTTTAAATAAGCGTTTATTTATTGCAACAGGCGTATACGTAAATAGAACTATGCTCCGCTATATAACATTTGCTGTGGCCCTTTCTATTAAGAAAAAGACGCGTTAATCGTGCATAAATGTAAACGCTGACGTAGCTGTGCACGAGTAAGCTTAGCTTTACGTATTTCTTTGCGGCGGTTTGAAAGATTCGATCCTGTAACTGCCCTGTCGGCAGAGCACTGAGTGTCCCTTGCTTTCGTTACGTGACACTCACAAACTCCTGATGGTCGTCGTCTGTAACGCTGAGCTATGCGACGGGTACTTGCAAATCCTTTTTCCTTAAAGGGTAGGTTATGCCTTAGTTTGTTTCAAGAACACCACCTGTGAGATTCTAACAGGCTGACTAATCCAATTGGCTTGTTTATTTTGTTGGAACATTTTTCTAGCCTCAGGCCAAAAGGGAAAGGGTCACCAAAATGTCTTCAATGGTGACGCGATTGGTGATCGTGGCCGTGATCGTATGGCTCGTGATTATCATTGTGATGAGCGGGCCGTTTCTTCGTCCTGGGGGACTACCCGAAGATCAAGTAAGGTTACTTAATGTAAGGGACAGTAATAACAACGACATCTGCTTTATTTTTAATTTGATTGTTTTAGTAGATAAATAAAAATAATATAATGGCTAGATAATTGCCCCATTGACTTTGTTGCACCACTTAGAATGCCGAGAACAAGTAAGCTCCGATATGACAGTACGTAAGGGAAATTGCAACGCAGGTCCTGCCGTCCGTCTAATATCTACAAATTTAGCTACTGGTAAAGGAAATATGAGAAATATTACCATAAGCGTTATTTGTATTCTATTTCAATCGCTTCCATGCAGGGACATGGTCCGCGAATGGGGCACGTGAGAAAAATTGTTGAAGGTTCCAAAATTTTCAAGTAACTGTTGCAAGAGAACCCCTATTTTTTCAAAGAACAACGATAGTCTTTTTTTTCACAATAGTATAAATCTTAAGTGCTAGCATTAGGTTCCTACTAGTTACTGTTGAGTGATGTGCAATCTTGTACAGATATTCTCCGTCCGCACAGAGCTCCCAGGAATGGGATTGTATAAATAAATCACGTGGATTTCCGAAGTCTTCTAATGATTGTTTTTATACCGCCTCGTCACCAATCAGTCTACCAGGTAAAAAAAAGGGAATCATTCAAAAAGAGCGTTCGTTTTCTACCTATGAGGTAATTAAGTGTATACTGTAGATCTGTGTTGCAGAAATGTGTTATCACAGTAAGTAAATTTCACGTTCGACCGACGCGATCCGGCTGAGTGTATTTGGAAATGATGCAACATACAGTTATGATGATTGATTGTCAAGTTCGATCGCTAAGGGGAACGAAATCTGTGTGACACAAACCGAGAACAACGAAAGATCGTAAACGCATATTACAGCCATCACGAATCACCATCAGTATTAACTATTGCAATTGGACAGCAAAATTTCGTTTACCTGTCCCAAAACTGTCTGCGGCAGCGGAGAACTGCCGAACGCCTACATGTGATCTAAATAAACTTAATTAATTGATTAACGAAACAATTATACGTTAGTAGTAGTAAAAGGAAGGGTCAACTCTAATTGTTTTCTGCGTTTTCCACTTCGCACCGGTATATGTCTATCAAACGATCAAGGGCCGTTATATTTCCAATTATTGTGACCAAAATCGACGGCATTACGAATATTGCGCATAATCGCATCATGGCGTAACACGGACGCCCGAATGATCAGCGCTCAAAAAATAGTTTTCTGACGTTATGATTTTATTGTTTTTGTTTACAGATCATTATTTAACACAGCTAGCTCCGGCATAAAACAGAACATTAAAGGAAATTATCTAGTTATTAGCTAACAGCAGGAAGGAAAAGCAAAACTGTTACAAGTCTGAACAATTTTGTTTTTTCTTCCTGGCAATGTTACGTTAACAACAGCACGTTCCGTTGCTGTAAGTAACTAAAATAACCAACTAAGTAACTAATTATTTTCATTTTTCTTAAATTCTTTAATAAAAAAAAAAAAAAAGATTATTTTAATTTAAACTAGTGCTATTCCTGTTATACATAATTACTGTACAATAACTGACAACTATTAAGTCTGAATATGTTTACTATCTGAATAAAATTGAAACACATACAATCGCAGCTAAAACTTTGAACAATCGTCTGAGACAGACAATTTCTGATGAGATCCTGCTAACGTTCTAATCGTAACAAAAAAAATGCTTTAAGATTTGAATTTGAACGTGTCATCATTCTTCACTATTTTCACTATTTTTTTCATCATCACTATTTTTCTCTAATCATTGTGTTTTTAACACAATTCGTTGTTTATTAGGTGGTCGCTCGATTAAATCGAGCTATTGATGAGCTCGAGGAGTTGAAACACAGCAACGCCCAATTGCGACTCGTCGTCCAAGCATTCACGAACGGCAACCCGATCGATCCCAGCAACGTCTTTTCGACGGCGCCCCCCAAAGACTATGAGGTTTACCGGCGGAGAGCAGAGAACGATATACGGGAACTTTGGTTTTTCGCTCGTTCTCAGCTGGACAAACTCATCAGACATGCCAAAGAAATCTCAAAGGTAGATTTCTCAAAGCATCTTTACTTAAGTTTGCCTGTTGCATACATACAGAGTCCTATTCGGTTATGTAAAATTGGACAATGAAAACAGGTGCACTTTGATATACGTTAGAGGGCATATATATATATATATATATCATGAACTCCAAAGACGTAAATTGCTTTTTCCTATATATATATATATATATATATATATATATATATACATGTACATACACGAGATTCTAGTAAAATAAAATTCTTACGTTATTAAAGGCAGAAATTTACGTCGTTAGATACCTGTAAGGTTATTGGTGGGTAATACTAAGCACATTAATTTCGCGAAAACCACACCTGATTTCATTATGATCATCATCATCATTAGCGCTGCTCTTGTCGGTATGATAACACCTTGTATGTCGCGTGCACTTTGCGAAAGCGAAATTGGCACTGCCCAGTATATAGTTTCTTCGGACTGAAAAATATTAAGCGTCATTGATCGGGAACCTGCTAGCGACCAACTGAGCCTCTCTGTTGCGATCGAGTCGCGTCGATTCTGATTTCTCGCAGAGACGATACCTAACACAGATAGACAGCCTGAAAAGGCTTCGCGGGACATTAATGAAATTTAAGTATGACTACTACAGTTCTTGAGAAGTGACCTGTTAGTAGCGGCTAGCATAATCTAATCCTTTGGTTAATTGGCTTTTCAAAGTGATAGCTACCGTAAGCTATTATTTTAAGCTATACCTTTCGTCTTTATATGGTTAACCATAATTAACCGTGTGTGCTATAAAAATACAAAAAAACCAACACATGTTATTATCAGTCAATACACTGAATCGCGTACTGATCATAGGTCTAATCGAGTTTAGCTTTTGTACAATATTAATATCGAAAGTTAGAGCGCCAAGATTTGAATATCTGGCACGGAGTTCTGGCGCGGATACCAGACTTTATAAAATTCCCACCGACAATGATTTGGTCTGCTAAATCGTTAGATGTACATACGCTTATTTTACTGTTTGTTTACTGATCATTGATGTACGACTCAGAAAGATTAAATTATCCATTCAAATAAATCAAGATGAACAACTTATTTCCTGGAACATTATCAACCTATCATGGTTGGGACGCTTCCACTTCGAGGCATTATTTGTGCCCCGAATAAGTTCACGCTACCGTTCCGTTCTGCTTGAGAAGGCTTAGTTGATGCTCATGGGCTTACTTGAAACAAAGCCCTCTAGTTGAGCAGACAAAAATTTTAGCGGTATATATCAACTTCCATCAATGTCTCAATAGGTCGCTTAAATTATTTGCAGCCCGTTCATCTTTCTGCTTTTGCAAGCTGGATGTACAGATTCTGGTATTTGACTAGGCACATGCTTGTTTGGAAAAAAGATTTCATATTTGCAAATACTTGGTAGTAGAGTATAACTTGGTTCATATCTGTCTTTTCCCATTTAATTTGGTTGCTAATTGGAAATGTTTCGGATTTTACGCCCGGTCACAGACTCTGATAAACTTTTAGTGCCATACTATAATATATGAAATTCGAATATACCAAAACAAAAACAACATTCTTAATTATAATTTAGTCTCCGTGTCGTCTACGCTGTCTACCGTGGCTAGCTACAGTAGAAAACACGCATGTAAAGATATTTTAAATGTAAATAAAAGCCTGTTGGACCAGTGTGCTTTAAGATGATACAAAGTCTAGCCGGACTAATTTTTTAACGTGCCAAGATAATCTAGAGAATAACGGCATTGAATGGGGTAAATGCTTTCTGCGAAACTTCTGCGGTTAGTAATTTAACGCGGAACTAATAGGAACCAAACATCAGAATTTTAATTTGGTACGGATTTGACACATTTTTACCATGTGGTAATCGTGTGTTGAATAAGATCGTGTAACTGATAGAAACATAGACGAAACGCCTACAAAACAAAGTAGTCGATATGTAGTGTAAGCCACAGCACACTCAATGACTGCATAATACGTAATGGAAGCCACATTACGTGCACATGACTGCGGATTATAGTCAATGTGTAATGTGTACTTTACCTGTTGCAGAAAAATGAAAGTGTTTCAGTTTGGAAAGGCTCATAAGCACGATTTTTAGTATGCAGGTTTTTCAATCGACCGTTTTTCCGTCTAATACAATTGACTGATTGCATGATACTACAATGTACAGCAATTTTGGCATTAGTGTCCTTTTGTGTGGAAACTGACCGTTTCGAATTTTTTTTATGTCCAGTGACGTCGTTGGACGACCCTTTCTAGCACGAAACGAATGCCTGATTTCGGCTTACACAATATCACTCTAGGATAGAGTAGTTAGTAGGATAGAGTTCAGTAGGCTAGGATTTGGCTTGCAGAAACTCAAAATGTCTTGGATTTTACATCTCTTACTGTGATTAAGCGTTGTTTAAGATGGCTAGCTACTAAAAACTAAATGGGCCACGAGCCAACGCTCGGTTTCAAGAGCCTAAGTTTAGTGGACGAAAACGTTATCATGGAGACAAATTAGAGCAGCGGGAACCAATAGACCAACCCAAAAGAAATTAAGTATTCTTGTTTCTAATTCTCTTTCAGGACACTTTAAAAGCCCTTCGCGAAGGGATCTATGAAAGGCACATGGCAGCGTTGATTGATATGGACGCGATGAGATTACGTGACGGCTATGAACGCTGGCGGAGAGGCGAGGCACAGGCGCTCCATACAGCCGTGATGGACAGGTAACATCTGTGGATCATGAAATTTGGCTGATTCTACTATGGTGTGCATGTGTATATATATATGTAATCTCTGCTACGACTATGACAATGATCATGGCCTTATGTCAGTGTTATCGACAGTGTTGATGGTTCGAGAGATTTTGAGTGCCAATTTCGAGTTTTGAGTCAGTGTTCAGGTCGAAGCGAGGCCCCTAAAGCTGCGGGATTCATAGATGCCCGTTTATCAAAGAGCACTAGCTGTGTTAGTAGTACTGTGTGATATAGAGTTTCTAGAATGCTAATAGAGGCACAGACTCATTGTGGTGCATAGCTTGTCACTGGAGGACTTCTGCGGAATCTAAGCGGCCCGTAAGGGAGAGAAACGTAAATTCCTAACGTTATTCACTAACATAAACTTATTCAATACTTTTCAAAGGAAAGCTTTTTACGAACTGTCTGTTTTGTCTCAAGTCCCCAGTGATTTTAACTGATTCTGGTAGAAGTTGCCCGAAATCTACCCTAGGAAGAATGCGTCGCGTAATGATATTAAAAGATGTAAAAAAAAAAAGCATGGATCTCACCAGCCATTATTAATTTGATGCTTTTTCAGAATTCGAACCCTACAGAATCCTGCAGATTGCTTTTCAGCTAAGAAACTTATATGCACGCTAAACAAAGGCTGCGGATATGGCTGTCAACTTCATCACGCGACCTACTGCCTAGTTATGAGCATATCGATGAAGCGAACGCTTATCCTCAAATCCAAGGTGAAGAGACAACGAATAGATTTCGGATTTGATATAATCGTCATTCGATTCAAACCTTGTCATCCCCTATCACGAATACGAACATTGCCTTGATCAGCCATAACACTTGGAAGTTGCAGTTCCAGTACATGAACTGTGTAGAATGAAAGATAATTTAGGAGAAATCCTCATAATTTTCAATTGCTTCCTTATTTATTTAATCCTTCCTTAATTATTTACATACTTTCGGTGTCTTGCAATAACCGCAAATACCGTAATATAAGAACATAACAGCCGTCTACGCACACTGCTTACGTTACCCAATAAGGGAAAGTACCAGGCCAAATACGGTTTACCTGAATAGTCACTATACTGTATATACTCTGATTTTATTTTACGGAACAAACACGAAGTTATAATGTATATATAATAAGTGGAAAACTATGACAGGAGGTCAAGAACTAACAATCACTTGTTTTATAAACCACAGTTTAATTATGCTGGCCTTCGCTCCGCAGGGTTGGCGCTATAATCCACGTGGGTTTGAGGACGTCTTTCAGCCACTGTCCAACTCATGTTTGGTCGAAACTGGAGGAAACATAGAGAAATACCCTGGTAGTGAAGATGTGAGTACATTGATGAAACTTAGATACCTAAAATAAGTACATTGGTAGCCATGTGTTCGCTTCATATCATGAATAGATAAATCGAATAGGTTTATTCCAAATGAATCTAATAAATCTAAATAAGGATGCATTTAGTGACCGGTCCCTAAGGTCTGTCCTACGAAATAACTCTACTTAGAATTTAGTAGTTGTTAATGCTCAGAGTCGGTTCTGTCAAGAGTTATTTGTTGGGCTTCAATCGTCTTGTTGCTTTAAGCTAATTAGCTATCAAGTTCAATCGAGAGTGTAAAGACGTTTATACATGGATGCATTTTTTTAACCATGTTGACGGCAACCGCTAGGTCAATGTCCTTCGAACCTCGAAAACGCGTTTAGCCCAAAATAAAAAAGAGACGACAGGCAGTTAGAAATGCAACTATATAATTCGCTGATTAGAAAGATTAGTTTTAAGCAATGATGGGATGATTAACGCATTATTCGCTATATTATACAGTGGTGATTGAAATTGGCTGTTCAATGCAAGACGAATAATTTTAGCGCGTAGCTCGAGCCTTTCCATTTACTTAAGATCTTGAGTCATGTTTGGAAATGGTATATTATGGAAGATGAATTATTACGTTGTGTAATTCTGGAACGAAGTGTAGATGTCTCATTGTGGGGACTGTGACGAGTACCAGTGCTGAGTCTCTCAGCACTGGTACTCGTGATAAGCAATATATGGCAGGGTAAGGGTCAAGTTTGACCCTTATCTAATCACGCCAATTGAATTTTCGTTTTGCTTTAAGTTGACCTTCGTCGTGCATTCTAATATGAAGATAATAGTTTGTTCTTTGAAGCCTTTATTTCCTACCTACTTAATGGGCAAAGGTCTGTTTATCTGGTAGAATATTTGTCTAAACAGAGCCACTAATTGCGTTCTTGAAAAAAAGCTATCCGTTAATAAAATGAATCAACAGTTCAAATGGTCAAATGTGTTTAGCTTGTTTACTACATAGGTGGCTAGAGCAACCGTCTGTTTGTGGTTGTCTTGGAAATTGATTTTAAAATTTAATTTCTATTCACAGACTATCAACGTGGAACTGCCGATCATTGACTCAATCAACCCCAGACCTGCTCAACTGCCATTGGCAGTACCTAAAGCTCTAGCTGCCCGAATTCAGCAGCTACATGGAAACCCTGCCTTGTGGTGGATCTCACAACTTCTCGGTTTCTTACAAAGGCCTCAAAAAGAAACTGCGGCCTTCTTAAAGCAGGTACGATCTGAGAAGTGGGCGTTTATCTTGAACTGCTTTTTATACAAATTTTGCCAATTATCTTATCTTTTTTGCTATAATATCCAAAGACACCTTTTGTTCTTTATCATTTCGCTATTTTAGTCTTATCTTCTGCTCTCATTTATAAGTATTCGTCTATTATTGTGCAATTTTTGGAGAGATCCATAATGCGTGCGTACTGTGTAAGGTAATGTCAAATGTTTGCATTCACGCTTCCTATCGTATTTAGCGTGGTTGAAGCAGTAGAACACCGGCGAATCTTGCACCAACGCCACTTTTTTCTCCACACAATGACAGTTTTATCTATGATGTACCTTTCAGTCGGCATTGTACCTTTATCCATCAGTATTTTGATCGCCCTTTCTGCGTTGTAAACAGACACAAGTTGGACTTTTTTTGTTTATTAGATCTGTTACAAACGTTTCAACTGATAAATACTAAATTATAAGGTTGTTTTCCGCAGGTGGAACAAGCCAGCGCTATCAAGAAGCCATATGTTGGTATTCACGTCCGACGGACAGACAAAATAGGAACGGAGGCATCGTACCATGGAATTGAAGAGTATATGAGCTGGGCAATAGAATACTTCGACAAGTACGTTGTAACCAAGTCGTGATGTACGGAGTATGGAGGAAGCTGTAAACGAATTCGATTGGGTTGTCTTCATAAAACATTCAGTATGATTATAATAGTGTTTGGTACAAAAACTCATTTCGTGAAACAAGATGATTGTTGCAGTGATAGTATGCTATTCTATGCAAAATAGAAGTAGTTTGAAAATCGGCGTACGGTTCTCGATTAGCTGATAAGCTGTAGCGTTTGACAAGGCGTTGTCGCATCCGAACTCTAACACTGTTACGAGCGAATACTAACCCGTCGTTAAATTCTAACCGTTCCGTAAATTGATTAACAAAGCAGAAATAAAGTAATTATTAACCAAGTTAATAATTACTTTGCTAATATACAGGTATGAGCTAGCACACGGCCGATTAGACAAGCGGCGCGTCTATATTGCCTCTGACGATGATACCGTACTGAAAGATGCCCGTTCTTTGTATCCCAACTATGAATTTTTCGGAGACCAGAAGATTGCCGCAAGTGCGTCGCTGAAAAATAGGTACGTGTAATGCAGTCAACGGGCTTCAGTTCTGCATGTTTTAGTAACTATACGGCTTAAGGCAATGTTCTACTAAGATCCCCTTTATCTAGCAGTTATGACGAAAATACATTTTTGAGAGTTGATTACTTCCGATGCGACTGGTAACGTATGCTACATAACGGTTAGGCGACACCTGCAATATTTACGTACAAGTAACCGTGTATGCTCATCTCAAAATGGGCCAATGAGAGTAAGTGGGCTCATTAAACTTGTTAAAAGTAGGCAGCTGTAGGACCAGGTTCGTTATTCAGGAACCCATTTAGTGCTTTACGTTGTGCTAAATACTCCCCAACTCTCTTATCAAAAAATGTGTTATTTTTGCTTTGTTTTTGGCATCTCGAAAACATCGAGTCGAACACATCTGGACAAATACAAGGCGCCAGCTTCAAGTTCATTTTTTGGTGACTTACGCATTTGTCTTAACATTACGCGTGTACAAGCACTTCTATCTAGTTAATCTAGTGATGAACGCATACAAACGTTGAGTTTGTTACAAGATTGGACTGGTTATAACATTAGTTACGTTATTTGGGCCTAAATTGGACCTAAACTAAGTTGACATGACAATATTTTGGCGTGTTTTCTTAAAATTAAAGAAAACCCTAACTAAATATGTAAGTGAAGCCCAAATGAAAACTGTGCAGCGTTTACAAATCATCAAACGTGTCGTAATTCACACACGCCTGAAGGGAAGCATAACTGTAATGGACAGCCGATATTTGAAGCCTACTAAACGATGTTCGATAATTCGCCATAGATGTCTTATAAGCGCATATTATCGAACCCTACGGCAGAGCTTCTTAAAAAATGTACATGTTTGAACACATTCGATTAGCTTCTGTTTCACGACAAAGTGAGTACCCGGAGGTTTGATGCTAAATGTGATTTTTTCTTCTATAGGTATACTGTTGAATCCCTTCGAGGAGTTATAGCTGATCTGCACATGCTGTCCATGTCAGATCACCTTGTATGCACGTTCTCATCACAGGTGTGCCGAGTCGCCTTCGAGATGATGCAACTTTTATATCCGGATGCATCTCACAGGTACGAACTGACCGCAGAACGACACTTAACATAGTAACCGTCTTATCATTTCTTCTTCCCATTACCTACTGGAACATTGCCAGCTTTCTCCAGGAAACTCGTGATGTTCCAGCAGGTAACGTTACTGCAGAACGGATGGCTCGATTTACCATTAGTGGATGCCGGACTTTGAAGTACTAGATAGCTCTGTTTTTTACCGCAACGGCTAGATGACCAAACTCGTTGGAACTTTCAAGTATCAAGTGATTCTCGATTTTGATGACCAAACTCGCTGGAGCCTTAGAGTACCAGATGGCTTTTTCGTTACTACAACGGCCAGACCGCTAAACTCATCGGAGCCTTCAAGTATCAGATGGTTCTCGATATTGATGGCCAAACTCGTTGGAGCCTTAAGGTACTAGATGGCTTCCTTTTTTACTACAATAGGCAAATGGCTAAACCCGTTGGGGCTTCCAAGTACCAAATGAGTTTCAATGTTGGTTGTCAAATCCCTTGGAGCTTTCAAGTACCAGATAACTATCCTCTTAGCCACAAAAGCCTGGTGGCCAAATTTATTGGAGCTTTCCAGATGGTTCTCATTCCTAGCAAAACGGCATGATGGTCAAACTCGTTGGGACTTTGAAGTACTAGCTTTATTTTTTACCGCAACGGCTAGATGACCAAACTCGTTGGGGCTTTCAAGTACCAGACGGCTTCCTTCAACAATCAGATGGTTAAACTTATTAAGGTCATGCACATCTATGCAATTTTGTGACTTTTTTTTTTGCTGAGTACGCAGTCGCCCGTCGGCGAGCGACGTTCAACTGAAGTGAATATTGTGATGACCAATCAAAAATAGCTAGATTCTTGGCGTTCTCTTTCTTTTGACGTTGTGACCGAAATCTCTTTCGAAAAGCACGCATTAAAAGATTTGTTTCAAGCTTTACGCACTGGACAAGTTCTTTCTTCTGACCATTCTGTAGGTTTCGCAGCCTGGATGACATCTTCTATTATGGTGGCCAAAAGGATCACAACGTTGTGGCCGTGCTCGACCACTCGAAGGCAAACGCCCGCAGAGGTGAAATTGTATTTAGGAAGGGTGACCTGCTAGGCATCGCCGGCAACCACTGGGACGGATTCTCACGCGGGGTCAATCGAAGGACGTTGCAAAAAGGACTGTTTCCGTCATTTAAAACCACGGATTTTGTGGACGCGGTAGACTTCGGTGATTTTTAGTGAAGTCAAAGCAAAGACTCAGCTGGCATCTTTTGCTGCAGCAGCTTTGTAGCAAGAGCACTCCCGGTCTAATCAACAACTATAATGTTCGCCAAGAATTCGGTAGGAACACTGGATGTTGGACGGGTCGTGTAATAGGGTGGTATGATCAACGGCGCCAATATGAATATCTCTCGGACCATAGTTAAATTGGTTCTATATTGTTGAATCTCGATACCAAACATGCATGTACTAGTATAGAGGAGACTAAATATTTTGTCAAATATACTGTTAATACCTGGATCAGCTGGGATCGGAAGAGCTGCCGCGAAGGGGATAAACCAGATGGAGGCTGAGTATGTGGTTTTACCGAGATGGATCAATCTTAATCATTTTTCAAACCGGGTCAACTAAATCCGGTGTGCAGTGGAAACGCGATTCTAAATCCCGAAGCGTTGGGATCTCGCAGATTAAGAACGGATAGTTTCCACCAAATATAGAATTGTTCTGCAGAATCCTTAAGTTTCCGTTTCTGAAAGTAGAGCCACATATATAATAAACAATTGTTTAGACAATTCTTGTATTCTCTGCCACTACGCCACAATGGCGTTACCAACTGGATAACGAGATGAATACGGAAAAGAACCGCGCGTATAGGTGCAAATATGCGGAGTTCTCTAGTTACTTCTTTTTGTCAGCGCGCTATCTTCTATTGTACAGGCCTGCAAAGTTCTGCAGGGTTGAAGGTCAGCTAGTGAACTCTTGAGCTTATGTTAAATAGTGATGAAAAGCAACGCGTTAAGGTATTGATTAGGTGTAGACTACCGAATTAGCAATAAGGTTAAGCAATGAAATGATGTTGCTGCAGTGATTATTTTAGTCAATGGAGAGCGAAACGATGACGGAAAAACGACTATTTACATATCCAGGGTCGGGAGAAAATTACTTGAAGTCAAGAAATTTGTTAGTTTGAGATTACTCATTTTACATCGATTGGTTAGTAGGTGAGTAAGATGCCATAAAAGCAAGAGTAAACAGACAATGAAAACTTTTAAAGGACTTCGAGGACGACCGCATATATATATATATATATGCATTCTAGCGATACGTTGTTATTGTTGATTCCGGTGCTTCGCCTAGTCGCTGTTTGATAGGAGAAAAACGAGTGAATGAAACTAGAACCGCGCGGATGTGAAACTTAGAAACTTTCGTTTTTTAGAATGAATAACTAATGATGCATGCAAGTAAATTTTTTTAGCAAAATGTTATACGCCATTGTAACTGTGTAAAGTTGTGCACTCCAAGTCCCAATGGGCTGAGTATGGACGAGGCTGATATGTGTTTTCAGTAGAACGTAGCAAAAGTCGTTTGCAAAATGCACTTCAATGATCTCGAGATAGCAAGGCTTATCGTTGAAGTGTATGAGGCATACTTGATTTGCATCCTGAAGTCTACGTATGTAGATCACAAGCCTTTTAGAGTGTGATTTAGTTTTTATCAAACAAAGACCTATTGAACGTTTTATATTTTTATCGTTGTTGCTGTGTTGTTTTGCTGATAGTGAAGGAATGCGTTCCGGTTTTGTTCTGATTTAGCCGGGTGGGCAACCAGCCGAAGTCGCTCGGTCGCGAAAGACTACGAGAGATGTATGCTCAGAGAACAATCTGCAATGGTACCATACTTCGGCATCATTTCTTAATGCATTTTCTTACAAAATTGTCTATTCAAAAATTATATATAATAGAATATTCGGCAAATGTTATCGTCCCCGATAATGCGAATACGTAGTTATAATTATTTAGAAATAATAACAAAGAGACCCAAACACTTATGATGCATTGTACATTTCGTCGCTTTATACCGCTAAGGATGTAACAAGACTCGATATATTATATATATATATATATATATCGAGAAATCTAGCGAAGACCCTATGAAGAACAGTTTGAAGGGAAAACTGAGCTGGCTTTGACTGTATCTATCTTTATATATATATATATATATATATATACATAAATATATATATAAATAAAAAGTCCAGTGGAACGGTGATGAGATGCCGTACGACACGCGTACGTGACTTAACTGTGCAATGAAGTATGAGTGGTAAACTGACTGTAAGAGGTAAAGGGAAGGGGTATTAATAACAATAAAAAGCGTATAGGAGTGAGAGAATAAATCTCCAGTTGTTATTTGGTTGTGCGTTCATTTTGCGCTAAGGCCATGGGTGGTTACAAACGCGAGTTATTTTTAAAATGAACTCTGATCTATCTATGAAGAAGAGTGAAAGATGAGGATATGAAGACCAAACATCTCCAGAGAATAGAAACTCAATGACAAAGCATATCATCAACTTTATTAGCTTAATATAGATGTCAAAATGAGCCCAGGAGGCGCGTCAGGCTCCTCAATATATGGGCACGGCATTTCGATTTCGACTATCTTGTACTTAAAACAACTACCTAAATCATATCCCATTTGTTTACTATCCTGTCATCCGCAATTGGTGCCTATTACTAATTATTAAATAATTTTAGCATATTCAGCATTGTGATTATGAGGTTTAGAAGGCAATGTGGGCAATATGTACGCTCACTTGAACAGCATGCAAGGCTCAGGCCGTCGACGTTTACATTAATCAGATAGTAACGAATGCAATGCAGAAGCTCTTTTTATAGATTAACTGAAGTTCGGCTCATAAGTTTTTGGAGGATTTTTCGGTTGTGTAGATGGTGAGATATTCTAGTTTTGAGTACTTAGAACCTATTCGTCTGCATTTTCATCGTTGTCACAAAATGTTTCATGTTATTACCCAGCTACCATAAGTTATTGTACTCTACTCTCATTTTGTATTGTAAACAATATGGTAGACAAACATCAAGATACTGAAAATTTTACAGAACTTGCGATATAGTATATTCCTCTAAAGAGCTTTATGAAAGACACAAAGAAAGAGTGAATATCGGACGTTTTCGATCCTGTCATTATCGTCATCATTATTGTATCATTATTCTTAAAAGTATCGCTAAAAGAAATCTTTGTGACCTTTTATCGGTAGACATCAAACATTTAAGTACCGATTTACCGGTTTGTTTTTCACATTCAAACTTACTACGAGCGATAATAGAACTCCTAAAACCTAAAAGAAAAAGGTATGATACCTAAGTAGTGTACTAATTACTACTTTCTCCCGTATTTTTTTTGCAGAAAATACGCTTTTGTAGTATTATCATTATATTATTATATACGATTTTATTTATGTACATCACATACATCGGACCCACTCGATTTCATGTCGCCTTAAAGTCCAGTTTAGCCAGTTATGCGTTTAATCTATTGTAATATCTCGTAATTTATAATTTTCATTTTCCTCGATTTGCCTTTTTACTTTTCTATTTGTCGCCAGGCATAAGTTTCTCATAGCGATTGATCAATGCGTACACACGATCGCTCGTAGTTTTATATTTCTCTCTCTCACGCTATACGTATGATCCAGTATCGGGTTTGTTCTGGAGATTAGTCACTCTGTTCTGAAAGTCCTTTCGCTTGCTGTATCTATCAGTCGCTTCATCATGTTTTGCGTTTTTCGACTGTAACCGATCCAATCAGAAAAAAACCATAGCAATAACTAAAATCTATTTATACAGAACCTATTTATCAGTTCATATCATTCTGCCATTATATA